AGGCGTCCCTGCTGTTGTGTTTATAGCATGTATTGCAAATGGTAGAAATAATGGTTTTCTATAATAAGTAGGATTCACATTTTATTTCATATTATTAGTGAGAAAGTACAGTCTCTTAAAGGAAATCCTTCATGGGTAGATATTATTTGAGATTTTAATATAGCATTTTATATTTCTAGATACTTAAATTACTCATATACAAATCCCCACTGAATAATGAGGCAAGAAAATGTATACACTGCTTTAAAGTGGTAAAAACAGGGGTGCCTGGGTGGCTCAGTGGGTTAAAGCCTCTGCCTTTGGCTCAGGTCATGATCCCAGGGTCCTGGGGTCGAGCCCCATATCGGGCTCTCTGCTCCACGGAGAGTCTATTTCCTCCTCTCTCTCTGCCTGCCTCTCTGCCTACTTGTGATCTCTGTCTGTCAAATAAATAAATAAAATCTTTAAAAAAAATAAAAATAAAAAAAAAAGTGGTAAAAACAATGTACTAAAGTAAACATTAAAAAAAAGGAAAATAGCATTTCTTCTCTGATTCTAAAGTTAGTACCTACACAGAAAAGACAAAAAAGATTAAAAAAATACACATTATCCTAAATTTTACCCCTAGTAGGCATTATTCACCTTTACAATTTGGTGCTTATTCTTCCAAAGTGGTGTGTGTATGCCTATATATCTATATGAGATTTAATAATACACAGTTTTATGAGTATGCATTGTTGTGTGTATATACATTCGCTTTTCTCTCAACATGTTTTTCATATGTGATATGTGTGTATACATGAACACATATTTATATAATTAGGTAAATGGGATTGTACAGGATATGTTATTCCATAGTTTTTTTCATTCAGCAGTGGGTTATAAAGATATTTTCATGTCATTGAATAATACAGGTATACATTATCCTTTTAATATCTGTGTACTATGTTTCTGTAGATATACCTGATTGATTTTGATTGGTCAAATGGCAGCAATGGTTTTCAAATGGGCTTTGGTTCTAGGGAGTACTCTGAGCCAAAAAGCCTATATAACCTTGTGTTGGAGGGACACCAAGATGTGATTGTGAGTTAAACAGCTTTTCTTTGTAGACATGGTTTTCTCTGGTGACTCTTGGAATTAGTGCTTCCATCTGGGAAGAGAGCTTCCAGTAATAAGGGCTCAAAGAGTGAGTTCCTTTAGGGAATGTGGGGTTTCAGGTATGAAGTGACAGGATTGGCCAAGGCTTTAAAGGGAAAAGGAGTTAGGAATGTTGGGATGGAATTGACAGAGAATATAATGCTAATGATTTGAGGCCTTTCGCTCAGGTCAGCAGAGCAAAGCAGAAAGTAGGGAGAGCTTTATCAGTTGTGGAATGGAAGGGAAGGCTGTTTTTGTTTTTGTTTTTGTTTTAAAGTTAGGCCAGTTGTGGAGGTGTACTTCTTGTAGAGATATAATTGCCCTCATTCATGGGTTGGGCATTTGTGAGTTAGACACTGCCTAAAATGTTACCTGTTATGTGGAACTTAAAAATAAACATGATACTGGTTTTTTGATCTCACAACTTAGACAAAATGTAAATGCAGGTGGTTAGGAAGTTACTATTTTGTTTTCTTACTTCCTTTTTTCTTTTTTAAGAAAAAGAAAAGCATTCTGCTCATACTGTGTGTTCTGCTTCCTTAAAGAGCACTCTCAGGCATTTTAGCTACCAGCCAGTCATTTTTTAGAAAGACTTTTGTTGTGTTTCTGTTTAAAGACTGTGTGGTCTATCCTGACTACAGTTCATTCCTTCTTTCTCTCCCTCCCTTCTCTTTCCCTTCAGTCTGAAAAAAAGTGCCATGGCACCATTATTGCAGTGACTCAAATTTACAAGCTATCAGGGTGTAGGAAACCACTCTGAATGCCAAAATATGTGAGTCAGAAAACCTGGGTCCAGTTTTATCCTGCTAAGTGATTTAATCTTTTTAGTAAGGCTTTAATCCAAAATGTCCATTCGTAGACCTGTAGGAGAACAGTAAGTTTTGGGGGGGGGGGCTTACTAATAACTTATTATGTAGCATATCAAAACTAGAGTTGAACTAATATCACCACACTGTCTCTGCATTTTTACTCTGCTTTGTTAGGGATGCTACTAAGATTTTTTTTTTTTTCCTCGTTCACACTGATACTTTTTATGATGAGCTTATATATTACATTGAAACTATGAAGTATGTCTTAAAATAACATGGTATTCATTAACTTAATAAACGTATTGAATGGAAGTACTTTTGTAGATATTGGGTATATGAAGATGAATAGTTCATAATCCCTACCCTTATAGAAATGATTGTTTAGAAGGGTGAGATAGAAGTATATGAATGATGACAAGCAAAAAGGAAGGGAAATAGTTCTGTGGGATGTAGGGATGCCTGAAAAAACTTATTAGAGCAGATGCTTTTTGAGAGAGAGTTGTTCACTACGTAGGTACAGATGGGGTGGGACCTGTGACTAGGGGGATGCCCAGACCAGCCCAGAGCATTGTTACTAGGACCACAGAGGTATGGAACATTATGATATCACAAATAACTTCATATAGCTAATGTGAAAGGTGTGTATGGAGGAATGGGAGGAGTGATGCTAGAATGTTATCCACATTTTTAAATAATTAATTAATTAAATCAGGGAAAGATTGGCAAGTAGAAGGAAACAAGATTACAGGCAGGGAGGTCAGTTTGCGGCTGTTGAAGTAATCTAGCTAGAAGTGCCATAGGCCCAGGCTCTCAAACTAAGTGATTAAAATGAAAACAAAGAAAATAAAGGTGTATAAACAGTAAGGTGTGACTGGTTTTGTATGTGTGGTAAAGGAGAAGGAAGAATCAGGATGACTTCCAGATCATCCATTTTGTAGGATTTTAGTAGATGCCAGTGATTATTCGAGGAGAAGCTGGCTTAAGAAGGAATAATAATGGTGTTTGAACATGTTGAATATGAGTTGATAAGAGATACCCAGAAAGATGTGTTCTGTGTACGTATGTGGATCTGTAGCTCAGAATGAGTTTATAATTAAGGATTCAGAGTCATCAGGTTTGAGTTTTTTGCAATTGTGGGAGCGTGGGTGTGGTAATCTAGGAGTTCAAGAAGAAAAATGGTGGGGGTGAACATTTTGAGGTTGGGCCTGAAAGAAGAGCTGGGAAGAAAATTGAGAGGGAGTGGTCTGAAAAGATCCATTGAATTTGTCAGATGGGCGGTGTTGGTGATTATTGCTAATGTGACGTTGGTGGTGTGCTAGGAGCAAAAAGCATATTGCAGAATAATTCTATGTATTGTATTCGTTGCCTTTATGCACTGAATTATAGATGTACATATAATGTATTTTATTAAAATTAATAATACTTTAAAGATACAGATAAGTTTAGAGAATTAGTTAACCAACTCTTGTGTACCCCCTTATACAGTTTTTTCAGTTTTTAAAAAACTTTTAAATTTTTGAATAATTATAGACTCATAGGAAGTTATGTAAAACCAGCACAGAGAGGTCCTCCAGTATGGCCTTCACTTAGCCTCCTCCAGGCACTTGTTCAATTTACCAGATGTCTTACTTGTTCAGTTTACCAAATGTCCTGGACTGGTTTAAATGCTAATGTTTTGGGATGGGTTATGAAATTGCAGGTAGTGTAGATTTGGATTGTGTACCCCCCACATGGTGCAAGCCTGGGGTTTTGATTCTGATAGGAGCCTTTCTCCTTCCATTGGGGGCAAGGCAGATGGCAGGCTTCCTTGCTGGTTCTTAGAGCGTATGAGTGGAGCTTTTCCTGTTCTCTTCTCACACCCCTTTTGAAGATCTTGGCTCAAAATAGGGGTTTTACCTCTAGCTCTTTCCTGAAATAGGCTCAAAATCAGGTCGTCTATCTTTAGACCAGTGTGCCCTGAGATTGCCTTGGTGCTGGGTGTCAGCTAGAGTTTCTTCCTTTCTGGAACCTGGGAATTTCCCTCTCCCTCTCCTTTTAGGAGTTCAGTTGTGTTCTGGTATTTCATGTTGCTTTGGCATTTCAGTGAGTATATTTGGGCACATGGCTATATTAGGCTAGTCTACCTTGTTGCTTGAATCAAAAGCTTAAAAAACTATTTTATAACTTCTTATTTCTTGAATTTATTCTTTGTTCACAAAAAGTACTTGAGATCAGGTTATATTACTTATTAAAATATTTATTTTTAAAATGGATAATGCATAAAAATTAAAAAAGACCCAACCAGAAAAATGAAACACAAAAAAGAAGAAAAAAAGGGTAATATATGCTTGTGGTATGAAATAGGAAAAATAAAAAAGGGTATACATGTCTCCCTTTGCCCTTTACTTCCTTGTGAAGTTTCCCTTCAGAGATAAGACCCATTTATAAGGTTCTCATATATCCTAGAGGTAGACTCTGAACTGGTTTTCTTTTTTCTAACAGTAGTTATAACTTTACAGTAATGCTTATAATTTAATTTTGTAACCAGAATTCAGGATTTTTCCATCTGTTTGACAAGTAGCAATTGTATTCTCTTTTTTGAGAGCTTTTGAGAGAGAACATTATACTAATTATATGTTATATGTATGTTTATATATATGTGAATGGATTATCTGTGTTTTAATTTTTGTTTGCCTGAGAAATCCCTCAAAATGTGACAGAATCTGACAAAATAGTATAAACTGTTGATTCAGATGTTTTAAGTTAGTATGTGGAATATTAAAATAGTGGAACATTAACCCTAATTTTTGAGAGGTAGTGGAAATGATATTTTAAGATAGTGAAATCTTAGTGAATGAAACACCTTGAGGATATCCTTACAAATTATCCTAATTACTACTCAGTACATACTGTTGTTTGCATATGTGCAAATAATTGCCCAAAGAAGTGAGGGAGGCTCTGTCATAGATGAAGCCCTCTCTTTTAGGTTCCTTAGCCATAGTTTATACCATTGATTGCCTAACTGCAGCTTGGTGAAATTCACTGGCATGGAAGCAAGAAATGGAAGCCTATGACCTAATATGTTTTCTTCCTTAGATCAACCTCTCCACTTCTCCTACACCTGCACAGTTAATAAGCCGTTCCCAGGCTTCCAGTTCTACCAGCGGCAGTATTACCCAACAGACTATGTTACTAGGGAGTACCTCCCCTACCCTAACGGCAAGCCAAGCTCAAATGTATCTCCGAGCTCAAATGGTAAGATATGAGCTACCAAATTTTTTCAGTGTTTAAGGACTTGAGAGAGATCGAAATGTTTCTTGATTTGATGCAATAAGAGGCATTTTTAATACTTAAGAAATGTTTAACAAATTTTTTTATATGTATGTGCTTAGCTCTTATACATTTACATCATGAAAAATTCTACTTTTAATTGGTAGGGCTTCTTGGTGTATCAAATAGCAACATTGGGAAGCTAACAGATTCTGTAACATGAAGTGACTGTTTTTTTAATACCGAATTTTATGATTTCAAACTTTTTTCACATCTTAACATCTCTGAAATTGAGGTGCATTTATAATTGATGGCATCTTACAGTTAAAATTAATGTTTGCAGTGATACGTAGAAATATATATGAAAAATCATTGTATATCTTTGACAACTTAAATTTGATTAAATAGTTAGCAATGTTAAAAAGTTGTGGTTAACTATAAGTTAGAATTTATACTGTGGTATCTTCTTAAATCTGGATTGGAGTTCCTGGTAATTTACCGATAACTTTTAGCTTTGGTTATTCCCATCTTAAACTTAACAAAATATTTGTGTTCTTATGTTCACTTTGATCTTTTGTTAATACAGGAATGTTAATTTGGCTCTTCTGTATTTGAGTACCTGCTGATTTCCTAGTTTACCTGTTGAGCTTCTTTAAGGCGTTGGTTAGCATTTACTTTATTTGATGTCTGCAGGTAGCTAGACAAGAGCTTTGGTCTAGTATGTATTTACTTATATTCTTTTTTGTCTAATGAACTAAATATATATCTGGATCCCCAGTTCTCCACTAAAATTACAAAGAAAGTTTTCCATCATATTTCTAATAGGAAACAATGCATGACCCACCTTTTATTTACAGATTATTCAGTGGACATTACCATACTTCTGTGTTTTTTCCCCTAAGAGATCTTATTTAATTAATAATGTGCTTTAAAATTAGGCTGAATCATTTGAATTGACTACTTTTGACCTCTTTATAAAACTTACAGTTTCTTATGGTTCAAGCTAAATAGAACAAACATCTTCTCTTTATTTTTAGTGCTTTTAGTTGTTTGTTCTGGCAGTTACCTTCTTGTGAAAGTTATACTTCATTGTTTAATTCACTTAAATTTAGTATTATAAAGAACTGAAATTTAAAAGATCCTATAGTCAGTAATTTTAACTTAAACAGTAACAGTTTGAGGACCTGAATAACTCCTAATGCAATTTTAAAATAGAGTATTTACACACTGTGTGAAACGACTATCATAATATACTAAATTGGATTGGATAATCTCTGCGTGGATTGATAGTGCCTTTTTAAACTAATGGCATTCTGTTTTAATATTGAAAAATAACATTTGAAGAGACGGTGATAAGTAAATAAATCGAGTATATCTTTCTTCCTTATTTATTTGATGTGAAGCTTTTTTGCAGGTTGTTTTGTTGTTGTATTTTGACGTGGCATTTACATTTGGAATGAATATTTCTTTATGACTAGTTTTAAAATCAAGAGCAATTTGGTTTGTATTGTAGATCCCATGTAGCTGAGTGAAATACTGTAGTATGGGGCTTAGTTATCTTTTGTGATAAGGAAGACTGAAAAGACTCTTGTGTTTCTTTTCAGGTTTCTCACTGAAATTTGTATTCAAGAGTGGTTGTCTATTAAAAATAACTTCATTTTAGAAATCCTGCCGTAGTAGTTTCTGAGCTGGGAAAAGTTTGAGTAAATAATAGCTTATTTGGGGTAAAATTTGGTATGAGGATTTCATATTACCAAAATACATTTTCTTTTTGGAGCACTGATTTATTTTTCTACTCATCAGAATCATGAGCTGTTTCAAAATGTTTATGCTTTTTTTTTTTTTTTTGAGTTCTGTATTAGAAACTTTTCTTTGTCATGTAAAACCTTTTGCTTAGAGGACAGTCCTAAACTGCATTGTCTTTCTGTCACAAATTTCAGTCTCTCTTGCCTGCTATACATTGTGTGTGGGACACGTTCTTTTGTCTTAGGGTATTTTTTTGGTTTTTCTGTCTGTACAGCTGATTTTCACACCCGCTACCACTGTGGCTGCTGTACAGTCTGACATTCCTGTTGTCTCGTCGTCATCGTCATCTTCCTGTCAGTCTGCAGCTACTCAGGTGAGCTTGTCTGCTTCATAATGTGGTACTTGAGGTCTGGATCTTTAGGTTAAAGATAAACATACATTGTGTTTAAGTTGCTGATGATTTCAGTGCTCTTTATCCTACATTTTGGATTGGAATTTAATGAAATACTGTGAGAACTTCAAGAAGTTTTGGTTACATAGAAATTACCATTAAGCACAGATATTTAGGTTATTTGACATTAGTGAAAGTTAATGAGTTTTTGCTATAACATGGTATGTTTAGTTTTATTATAAAGCAGGCTTATTGTTCTTACTATGTGAGTTGTATTCTTTTGTGTAGATTCCTTTGCAAGCAGTTGTGTAATAACTAAGTGAAGATAGATTTTAAGTTTAAAAATGAATTGGGGAAATTCTTAACTTAAAAAATGGAATAGAATATTATTTTGTTTGGTACTGTGAAAAAAACCTTAATTTTCTCCTCACACCATTTACAAAAATATTCTAGAAGTAGAATATAGACTTAAAGGTAAAGCCTAAACTATAAAACCTCTAGAAGAAAACATAAGGATTATTTTTACAGCTGTATGGTACGCAAAGCTTTCTGACGAGATTGGGTGCATTCAGGATGGTATGGCCGTAGACTAGGCAAAGCTTTCTTAGGACACAAAAAGCACTAACCATAAAAAAAAATAATAACAAATTTGAATTTATCAAAATTAAAATCTTCAAAAAACATTGTTACAAAAGTGAAGAGGCAAGCTATAGACTGAGGGAAAATATTCATAATACGTATGTCTGACAAAAGAGTTGTATCCAGAATATACAAAGTAATGCTTATAGCTCAGTAAGATCAGTAAAAAATGGGCCAAAGATTTAACATTTCACAAAGGAAGATATACAAAAGGCCAATAAGTGCATGAAAACATGTTCAACATCAATAATCCTTACAGAAATTAAAACCACAATGAATATCATTGCGCACTCACTAAAATGGCGGAAGTGGAGGAAACTTCATAATACCACATGTTGGTGAGAATTGGAGCAGCTGTAATTTCATAATATTCTTTGTGAGAGTGTAAAATGGTGTCACAACTTTGGAAAACAGTTTGTCAGTTCCTGATAAAAGTTAAACATATACTTAACATGTGACCTAGCAAATCTGCTTACAGTTTTTTATTCTGAGAGGTTTGGAAATGTATATACATATAAAGACATGTGAACGAATATTTGTAGCAGCTGTATTCCGAATAGCCCCAAACTAGAATCAACCATTGTCTTTTAACTGGTAAATGGATAAACAAACTGGAATATTACTCAAAAATAAAAAAAGGATACACTCCTGGTGCATCTCAGAAACATCATAATAGCAAAAGAAGGCAGACACCAGAGAATATCTACCATGTGATTTTTTTTTTTTTTTAAGATTTATTTATTTACTTGAGAGAGTGCATAAGCAGGAGGGGCAGAGGGAGAGTGAGAGAGAATCCCAAGCAGATTCTCCACATTGAGTGTGGAGCCTGAGCAGGGCTGGATCTTACAACCATGAGGTTATGACCCGACCCGAAACCAGTAGTCGGGCACTCAACTAACTGCCCCCCTGTGATTCTTTTCACTGAAATTCCGGAACAGGCATGGCTAATTTATAGTGAAAAAAATTGGTGGTACCTGGTTCAGAAGGTGGGAGAGATTGGGGACAGGCATGGGTGAACTTGTATGTGATGGAAATGTTCCATATTTTCATTAAGGCGTTTGTATAACTCTTTGAACTGTTTCTTCATTTTATTGTAAGTTACATCTCAGTAAAGTTGACTAAAATGAATTAAATAAATTTTATTTCTTAAAATTAATTTTATTTTTTTCAAGTAATTTCTATACCCAGTATGGGGCTCAAACTCACAACCCTGAGATCAAGAGTTGCATGCATTATGGACTGAGCCAGTCCGGCACCCTGAATAAATTTTAATTAAAACAATTGAGTAGGGGTGTCTGGGTGGCTCAGTGGGTTAAGCCTCTGCCTTCGGTTCAGGTCATGAATTCAGGGTCCTGGGATCGAGCCCCGCATTGGGCTCTCTGCTCAACAGGGAGCCTGCTTACCCCCCCTTCTCTCTGCCTGCCTCTCCACCTACTTGGGATCTCTCTCTCTCTCTCTGTCAAATAAGTAAATAAAAAATCTTAAAAAAAAAAAAAAAAAACATTTGAGTAGAAGGGATGCCTGGGTGGTGTGGTTAGTTGAGCGTCTGACTCTTGGTTTTGGCTCGGGTCATGATCTCAGTGTCATGGAATTGAGCCCCTCTTCAGGCTCTGTGCTTGGCAGGGAGTCTGCTTGAGATTCTCTCTTCTTGTCCCATTGCTACTATCCCCCACACACACTCTCTCAAATAAATCTTAAAAAAAAAAAACAAAACCCAGTTGAGTAGGATATTACTTTTGTATGATACTATTTTGGTATTATTTTCCGTAGCTAATGTTTTAGACTGCATATGGCAGAAATAGGTATAACTTAGTCATCGTTGGCTTTTTGTTTTTAATTTAATCTCAATTTTTTTGGTAAAAGTTAAAAAAATTAGTAGTAATGTTCTTTGGTACTTTTCATAGAACCTCTTTATTTCTTTATTGAATAATAAAGGCCAATTTTCAATATCAGCATATAAAGATGATGATCATTAAACTCAGGTTTCTCCTAATGTGCTTTGTGTCCATCCACAATTCCTTAACGTTTTTGTACTTTAGTTTCCATATTTACAAAATGAGACCTTTATTACCTTTAAGGTTCTTTGACCTCTAAACCTTTATGATATCTCTTTGTGGAGTGATTTGTTGAAGTAATGATATTCCTGTTTTCTCTTGGTTTTATAAAACCCAATAAAGTTAGACCATAATCAACTTTCAGAACATGTTAAATTTTATTTTTTATTTTTTCTTGACTTTGTTTCAACTAAGATTTTATTTAATTGATTTATAAAATGCATACAATAAAACAAGATAAAATAAATTGAAAACATGCATGAAAAAAGCAGAAATCAAAATAGAAAAGTGGCATAGAGTTAGGAGTGAGGGTCCTCTTCAAGTTACAGACATGAAATCCTCCATGGGTTTAATTTCAGCTCCCACTTCAATTATTTATTAGTTGTATTAGCCAAGTTATCAAACATTTTTATCATATATATTTGTGTGTGTGTGTATATATATATACATATATATATATATATATATATATACAGTCATATATACTTGTAGGGTAAGTTGAAGAATGAATAATAATAGATGTGTTTAGTGTCTAGAACATTATAGGTACTCAGTACTTTTTTTTTGCAAAAGGAGGAATTGAAAGACTTGGGTTAAAATTCTGACTTCAACAACTGCCAGCTTTGTCACTCACCAGTTGATTGATTTTGAACAAGGTCGTAGTGTAGCATACTGTTACAAGTTTGGACTCTAGAACTAGACTCTCCTGGTTTAAGTACATGCTCTGCCACTTTTTCATTATATATCATTGACCTCTCCCTCAGTTTCAACAATATAAAATAAATATTTATAAAATGATTCACAGGGTTGTAGTGAGGATTAAATATGTTAATAATTGAAAAATAAGGGGCGCTTGGGGGGGCAGTCAGTTAAGCATCTGACTGTTGGTTTCAGCACAGGTGATGATTGATCTCAGGGCTCCTGAGATGGAGCCCTGCGTTAGACTCCGTGCTCAGCAGGGAGTCTGCTTGAGATTCTCTCTCCCTCTTCTCCCACCACACTCTTGCATGCACGTTCTCTCTCACAAATAAATGAATACTTCCTTAAAAAATAATTGAAAAATAGAACAGTATCTGATACTTAGCACTCACTAGATGTTAGTTGTTATTATTACCTATGCTGAGCCTCAGGTTTTCTTTTTCTAAAGTAAGTTCTACACCCAGTGTGGGGCTTGAATGCATGACCCTTGACATCAGGAGTCTGCATGCTCTAGTGACTGAGCCAGCCAGGTGCCCTGAGCATCAGTTTCTTTTTTCTTTTCTTTTTTTGGACATTCTAAAGCTTTCATTAAAGTATAATATACATCCAGAACATATATGAAGTGTTCAACAATCTGTACCAGAATATATGCTTACATCCCAACCACCCAGACCAAGAGGGAGAAACTTACCAGGATCCAGAGAAGCCTCCCTGATGGCCTGTTTTGGTCCTGTCATTGCTGCCCCTCAAGAGTCACACTATCCTGACCTATGTTAGTTTTGCCTGTTTTTAAGCTACATTTAAATGAAATTATGTTGGATATAATTTAAGCCTCAGTTTCTTCACTGTGAGCTAGAATAGCTCAGACTTGTGAAAAGGAATTAATGAGACAATACTCAAATGTATTTAGCATAGTGCCTGGCACATAGCACAAGCCACTAATCACTATTTTTGTTATGTATTATCTAAAGATAAGTCATGACCTCACTTCTTAGCTTTCAAGTAGCTAATAGTGAAGAGAGAAAGGTAGCCATTTAAGTGATTCACAGTTTCCAAGGTAAAATAAACCAGTTGTTAGAAAAACAACTAACATGCTCTCTAGAGAGTACTCTAGAGTGTGTCTTGTGTGTTCTCATGGAGAAAACCTCTTAGAGTGTCTTTAGTATTACCTTTAATGTGAGCATAGTCAAAATAATTTTATAAAATTGGCTCTTTGGGGTCCAGTTTGATGTGATACAGGTATGTGGCTCTGTGATAATTTGACTTAATTCAAGGATAGACTTTGAGAAACTAAAGGGATGGATTGACCTTTAGGAATTTGTCTACAAATGTTTTTTCTTTGCAGTGCTTTTGAAATGGCAGTAAATGAAGATGACAGTGGTAGGGGATGCTAATACTTTGCATATTCTAGTGGTAACTGTCCTCAAATTTGGGGCTGTTAGTTTTGAAAAACTTTGCGCTCCACTTTGTTAATTTTTAAACTTAATATGAAATTTTTAAAACAAAGAATTTGTAATTGAGAGATGCCAAAGTTGACATTTTATTTTAATGCTCTTTTACAGAAGTTAGTATAACAGTTAATTTTTTCTTAGTATTAAAATTCATTTGTAGCATACTGTCCAAAAATAAGAAATTTGGAATATCTTACCCTTATTTACTATTTTAAATGCACCATCCCTTCTCCCCACCATGACCAAGAAAATAAGTAAAAAGTCTGACTTTCAGAAAGATATAGGACTAAAAGTAGCAAATCTTACTTACCAAGGCTATCAGGGAATGTTTTTAGAATTGAGGAGAAAATAGTCCTTTGGATTTAAAAGCTAGAAACTCAGCTCTGCTGTTGGCAGTGTGACATTAAGTCTTAGTTTCCTCATTTTCAAAGAAGGGATGTTACACAGTAATTCACACAGTATTTGTTAGAGCCAAATTAAATAATAGATATGAGTATTTGAGTAACGCACTATAAAAATGTAATGTGTGAAATTAGCAGAAATAAATCATGTGGAACCTAGATTTTTTAAAAGTCAGAATGTTTCCATAATTTGATCATAGGAAAAGTTCAGATGAAATGAAAGTTGGACATTAGAGAACTATTCTGTATCTAGAAAGGGTGGATTCTTCTCAAAAGGGAACGTCTGTCAAGGACATCTGAGTATGTGATCTTTCTATTAACAGCTGAATTAACTCTACTGTACTCTGGGAGTATGGTTAACATGTTTTGAATTTATTATAAATATTTAAGCCAAGATGACCATAGTTATTATGTGGCCATACTCCAAAATTTATTCATATAGATAATGTATATGATACATATAATAAGCACATACATGCATTTTCTTTCAGAATTCCAAAGAACAAAATTATTCTATAGAAATGGATTGCTGCAGGTTTAGGGTTCATTGTGTGAAATCCTCATATACTGTGAATGTGCTTTTTATTTGAAAGAAAGTTTTCTCATTTTTCAGATTATAATTTAGCCTTTGAATATCATTATGATTTGGTTCACTTCTAGATCATTTATGGCTGACGTTCAGTTTTATGCTGTTTTTTCCCTTACTTCTTGAAAGACTTTAATGTGCCTCCACTAGATACTGGTTGAGATTTTTTTGGCTAAATATGAACAGATTTTACTGCTTGCCTAAAAAAACTGTAAATAGAACTAAACACTTAGCAAAAAAAAAAAAGGCAGTTAATATATATTTTAAAATCAGATGTAGGAGAATATCTCAGACTTGTGGAGTTTCTGTTATGTCTGTAGCACTGAACTGTGGGGAGTACAAAAATGAATGTCAGAGATGAGAGCCTGCCAGCAAGTGTCTCAGCATTTCACAGACACATTAGTAATTCTAAAATAAGCTAGACATATGTCAGTGCTGTAGGCCAGTATGTCCAAATTCTGTGGGAAAGGCATTGTAGAGGAGAGGAGAAATTATTTCTAACCGGGAACTTTGGAGAGGCTTCTTTGGGAGAGAGTGGGATTTTACTGGGCTTTGAAGAAAGGATTGGGCTTCAGGAGAATGGCATTTTAGGCAAGAGAAACTTGAGCAGGGGTTCTCTGAATGGAGGAAGTATAAGGTGTATTTGGAGAAGGGTGAGCAGAACGGTTTGGCTAGAATGTGAATATTGTGGATTAAAATAGTGGGGAATGGGGCTTAGAGTGGTTTGGGCCTAGACTGTGGAGGGCTTTGAGTGGCAAGCTGAGAAACCTGGATTTTAGCAATTTTATTTTTGTATTAAATTTCAGTAATACCACAATTATTAGTCCACTTACATTGCTATGAAATATTTGACAAAAATCTGAGAAGGCGCTCCATATGGTCTCAGAAAATTCTTTCAGTAGTTTAGAATAGACTGATTCAAGCCTCAACTGCTCTGAAGTGAACATTTGTTCAGCACCTGCTGTTGGCTGCCCACTGCATTTGGCACTTAGGAAGAGAAATTTTAGCCTGTATCAGTTAAATGATACAGTTGTAGAGACAGAACACACATGAAACAGGAATGTGCATAAAGCAGCAGTATCTCATTTGCTTTGTCACTTTAGAATCTTTTGCTTCAGTTTCCTTCTCAGGGTCCGTGCTAGCATAAATGTGTTTAATGCATTCATTTCCAGATCGGTAAAAGGTTGGGCAGCTATTGGAGAGGCATTTTCTGTCTTGCTATTGGAAATGGTATAAACCTCAGGTGAAAGTCATTGGGGGATGATCTTGCTACCATCCAGATTGGTGGTATGTTTAGAATAGCCCTGGGTGTAGACAGGAGTCATGGTGTCTTAGTAGATAGGAGTCTACTCCTGTAGACAGGAGTCATGGTGTAACCCATTTTGAGGCCCCATTCGAAAGGTCTTTTCAGTTCATGAGAGCTAGTTCTCAAAGCCGTGTGAGTATTCCGTAACAACAGGACTTTAAAAAGGAGTTGGGATATGCTTTTAATTATCACGGTGGGCAGGTGATTTGATGAATGAGTTTCCTAATTTACAAGATGAGTGTTCCCTTATAACCTCTGTAGAAGGGGTAGTTTTTGTTGTTTTTTTCTTTTTCTTTCTGATCTGTGTGAGGATGACAGTATTGTATATGCACACTCCTAACTTCTCACAAGAGTATGAAGCACTTGTAACCTTCAAGGTTTCACACTCTTGGCCTGGAGGAGTCAGAGTGAAGTTGAAGGGATTGCTCCTTCTCTTACACACCCTGGGCTCTTCTGCCACCGAGGCTTTGATCAAGTTTTCCTTTTTATCTGGAGTACCCTTCTCTCTCCTTCCCTTCGCCTGTCTCTGAGCTGGTAACTTCAAAATGCAGTATGTTGCAGTGTGATTTCCTCATATATATAGTTCATTTGATATATATATATATATATATATTTGATATATATAATCAAATATATATATATATATATCAAATATATATATATATATATACTGTTTTCATTTTGTTCTTAATGATTCCCTTAATGTCTTTTAAAAAATTTTTACTTAATATTTAAGGTATGATTACTTAGAATAATAACTCCCCTTTCTTTTAGGGTTAATCAGTCATTTCAAGTGCTTGGAACTTGATATGTAAAAAACATAATATAAATGTATTGTCATTGTTGTTATAATGGTAATGATTATCATATCTCAATTAATTCCATCTGTTTCATCCTTATTTTTTGTTGTGTGGTTCTTAGGTTCAGAATTTAACATTACGCAGCCAGAAGTTGGGTGTATTATCTAGCTCACAGAATGGTCCGCCAAAAAGCACTAGTCAAACTCAGTCATTGACAATTTGTCATAACAAAACAACAGTCACCAGTTCCAAAATCAGCCAACGAGATCCTTCTCCAGAAAGTAATAAGAAGGGAGAAAGTCCAAGTCTGGAATCACGAAGCACAGCTGTCACCCGGACATCAAGTATTCACCAGTTAATAGCACCAGGTGGGATAAACTTGTTGGAAATAGTTGGATTTTTCACTTTATCAGCAGGCAGAGCAAAACAAAAGATGTCTATTACGTGAACAAAAATACTTTTAAAAACATTTTTAAATGTGAATTTCATGAGTTTAAAAAAAAAAAACAGTATTGTAGTTGAAAAAAGAGAAATCAAAAGAGCCCAATAGCTAAAACAAATAATAATAATAAAAGAAATTTTTTTGGTTGACATTTGATTAACATCTTCATTATGTGCTAGTCTTTCATTGTATTGGTAAAACCAATAGCTTTTATTTTTTATTTATTTACTTAATTAAAAAAATTCTAACTCCTGTAGAGTTAACGTACAGTGTTATATTAGTTCCAGGTGTACAATATAGTGATGCAGCAATTCTGTATATTACTCCATGCTCATCAAGAAAAGCGTACACTTAATCCCCATCACCTATTTTACCTGTTCCCATCTCCCTCCAGTCCCCTCTGGTACCATCTGCTTGTTCTCTATAGTTAAGAGTCTATTTTTTGGTTTGTCTCTTTTTTTTTTTCTTTGTTAAATTCCACATATGAGTGAAGTCATACAGTGTTTCTTTCTCTGACTTATTTCACTTAGCATTATATTCTCTAGCTCTGTCTATATTGTTGCAAATGGCAAGATTTTATTCTTTTGTATGGCTGAATAATTTGTGTGTGTGTGTGTGTGTGTGTGTGCGTGCGTGTGTGTGTGTGTATCACATCTTCTTTATCCATTCATCTGTTGATGGACACTTGGGCTGCTTCCATAATTTGGCTGTTGTAAATAATGGTGCAGTAAATAGTGATGTAGATATCCTTTCAAATTAGTGTTTTCATATTCTTTGGGTAAATACCCAGTACTGTGATTACTGGATTGTAGGATAGTTCTATTTTTAATTTTTTGAGGAACCTCTGTACTGTTTCCTACAGTGGCTGCACCAGTTTGCCTTCCACCAACAGTGCCAGAGGGTTCCTTTTTCTCCACATCCTTGTCAACTCTTGTTTCTTGAAAAATCTTTTAGTTTAAGGGAAAAAAAGATTTGCCTGTAGTTTATTTAATAAGCTTTAGTGGGGCAGAACTAAAAGCTCTTAAAAAAGCACATTTTTTTTAAAGTTATCGTTAGTAAGTGGAGTTTACCACTTTACAAAAATAAGGATTTTGTATAATTATTTTTCTTATGATGTTGCTTTTTTTCCATCTCTGAGAGGAAGATGTCAGGCAATCAACTAAGTCATTTTCATTCTCATCCACCTTTGAATCCCATATGTGCTCTCTCTGCTATCCACAAGATGAGATCCTTCATGGTTCTTAGGCTGAAAATGTTGGGGCCATCCAGAGTGAGTTTCCTTACCGCCTCTTCTGTTCATCTCAGAATTACTCAGTGTTGAGCTTCCTTCACTTCTAATAAGATAAGGAGTTACTCGTTTTCTACTTTAAAGTTAACACTGTTTGCTTGTGTCACCAATTGTATCTTTTTTACCAGCTCCTAACCTTCTCTTAAAGTTATAGAATCTTTTGTCTCCCTCATGCTGGATCCCTTCCTTTGCTTCTCAACCATACTTGTATCTCTTCTGTAATATATCTGCATATGTTTTTATTCCAGTCCAGCTATTGTTTATTGAAAGTATGTGTGTGTGTTATGCACTGGGCTAGACACCACATATGTTTCATTAAAAAAAAAAAAAAAAAGTCCTCCCTTAATTCAACTTCATCAAGTAAGCACCTTCTTTCTGTCTTTTTATAACTACGTACTACTTTTTAAAGATTCATTTTATACTATTGAAGTCTGCTTTTTCTCCACCTAAGTCTGTTTTTCTTGCATGTTTCCTCTGTGCTAATATTGCTTGCATTCTCTGTAGTACCCAATCTCAGTGTCTTAGAATTGTTTGATATTCCCCTAGTTAGAAATCTCTCATCACTTCGAACTGTGTAGTGTTTTTATGTTTCTTTGTGGTCCTTTTTCTCTTATAGTTATTTGTATACTTACTAATCTTAGTTTTTGTACTGTATAGTAAGCTCTTTGAGAGTAGGATGATAATAATGAACACTTACGTGTCAGGTACTTTACAGTTATTAACTTCTTTAATCCTCTTTCATTTCACCTTTTCACCCTTTTTTCTTGACAGCACTAAGTTGTGCCTTATATGTACTTATTTACATTAGGTGGACAGTAACTATTTGGTGGATTAATAGTTGGTCTATTTTTCCACTTGAATTTTGGAAATTACAGCACAATTTTTTTCCATTCAAACTGGGTATCACTGTTTGGAATTCTTAAATCTGAATCTTTATAAATTAATAAGTCCATTCATAGTATAGTGTGATGTGAATTCTTTTTTATAAACATCTGTGTGCCTAGGTCCTGCTCTCTGTATGGCTTGATAACAGGATTTTTGTACTCTACTGTTTAGAGTATTTTCAGCCTCAATCCAGCCTCTGGCCAGTTTTGATAGGCATCATTGTGGAGCATTAGTGACTCGCACTTGACATGACTGCTTGGGACAATTTTTAGTGATTATAGTTTTGATAGATTATAATGGGGGGTAGGTTAATTTCCTTCCAAAGAGAATGCTCCCTTTAGATAAAGCTAGGACCTCTTGCAGGGTTAGTTAGTTCAAGCAAGGAGATTACTTTTAGATTTTCAGTTCTCCTGAGCTCCCAGTACCTGGTTCTAAGTTGACAATTACTCTTCTGCTTTTCTTTAATTGATAGTGTGGTAGGATCCCTATCATTGCCTTCCTCTGATGGCCAGTATTTTATGTAGGTTTGGAGGAGACCAGTAAGCTAAAACCATCAGACTCTCAGGACATTTGCAATGCCAAAATTAGATCTCTTAAGTGTGTTAACCAAACTCCAATATCCCGTGGTGGTGTTGATTAGAAGTAAAACCAAATGAAATACCCTAAGCCACAAAAACCTTTGCAGTTACCAAACTTATAAATACACTCAATCCTTACACTGCAGTTATTCAAAGCAGTTTGTATCTTCTGGCTAGGCAATAGCTGAATTTTTCCACTCTTAGTTTTTCTGCTCGTGTTGGTGAGAAGTTAGTCTGAAGTTAAGGGATTTTTTTGGTGTTTTTTTTTTTTTTGAGATTCTTGGTAATTTATCCTGTTCCTCAGTTAGAAAATGCTTATTTATATAGGTCACTTTCAAATATGAAAAAAATCTACTGGTATTCTACTGTAGCATAGACTAATAATTATTATAATGGATATGGTTATTGTTTTCTTATACTTATTTCTAAGATGCTAAAACCATTTGGTTTTCTTCATTTCTTCTTGAATTTGTAGCTCTCACTTGATAGTTAATCTATTTTTAATATATAAAATAAAGGTGAATTTTAACCATATGACTGGAAATTATCACTAACTGTATTCGAGTTCAAGTTTTTATAGCAGTTTTTAGAGCTTTTATGACATCAGTTGGAAAAAATATATACCAAACTTTTTGTAGACATTAATTTAATATGTAGTGAAAAACCTATGCTAGTCTGCTCAGGCTGCCATAAAGGATATCATAGACTAGGTGGCTTAAACAGTAGAACATTATTTTCTCAGTTCTGGAGGCTGAAAACCCAAGATCAAGTTCTGGCAGTGTTCATTTTTTGATAAGAGCTCTCTTCAAGGCTTGCAGATGGCTACCTTCTTGCTGTGTCCTCACATGGTCTTTCATCTGAGTGCTGGGAGAGAGGATAGTGAGCTTTTTGCTCTTCTTGTAAGGATCCCACCCTTCTGAACCTCATTTAACCTTAATTACTTCCGTAGAGGCCCTATTACCAAATGTAGTCACAGGAGGTTTAGGGTTTCAACATACACATTTTTGGGCACTCAAACATTCAGTCCATAATAGGAACCCAGACTCAGCTAGGGACTCTGGGTTCTTTTACACCCAGGGCTGCCCCTCAATAGCTGGGTGATTTCAGGCAATGGATTTAACTGGCCAGTTCCTTCTCCAATAATATATTGGATTAATGTAACACCCTGTCTACCTCATAAGGTTGTTGTAACTACTTAGTAAAATAATGTGTTTAATAATTTACAATAATATATAATTATTTAATAATATATTTAACTGTAAGTAATTATATAAAGAGCTCTATATGAGAGATGATGCCAATCATTAATTCTCCAAATAAAGTCCATCCTGACAATAATAAAAGGTTTATTAAAATTGGAGAAGTTAACAAACATGGTATCATTCTCCAGAGCACTAGGGCTTTTCTTATACAGTATTGTTTCAGATAGCCTCACAATTATTCTCTAATATATTTTCTTGTCACTTGGGCTTAGGGACTAATATAAAATATATAGATTCACTTTGATTTCTGATCAAAGAAAAGCTTAATTTAGGTGAAAGTGTTAATTGAATACTATTAAATTACTAGTTCTAGAGTATAAAAAAAGATCGCTTACTGGGACGCTTGGGTGGCTTAGTTGGTTAAGCGGCTGCCTTCGGCTTGGGTCATGATCCCAGCGTCCTGGGATCGAGTCCCATATCGGGCTCCTTGCTCTGCAGGGAACCTGCTTCTCCCTCTGCCTCTACCTGCCTCTCTGCCTATTTGTGATCTCTCTCTCTCTCTCACATAAAGAAATAAATATATATGTATGCTTAAAAAAAAAAATGATCGCTTACTAACTAGAGCTGAGAAAGAACTTTTATTCCATAAATGTGATACCCATTGTACATCAAGAATATGGTATTTTAGTTATAACTTTAAAAATTGAATTAAAGTGGCTGTTTGCTGTTATGATGGCAAAACCTCTATTTCCCCTTATGTAAAAGAGGAAAAATAATACCTACCTATTCCACAGGCGTTTTGTGAGAACAAATGAGAGAAATGTGAAAGCACCTTGAGCCCTTTGAAGGAAAGGCACTCTAGGATTCTGAGATTTTAATTGAATGCCCTGTAGTGTAGAGTCCTTATCAACACATTTATAAAGTGCTGGCATAAAATTTTCAGTCTTAGTTTGAAGTGCTAGTCTAGTTATGTGAAAATTACTTTGTTAGGTGAAAGTTTAGAATGGATCTCTATTTTTTTAAAAAATAGAATTGGTGGATATTTTTTGACCCTTTTAATGCCTGTGTTTTGAGATGTTAATCAGATGTTAATTTCCTTAAAGGACCCCCCCAATTTTAAATGATAACTAAGCAAATGCAAGAATGTTAAAAAGTTGTTACAAGTTTTTATAAGGCCTTTGTCACAAATGTGGTTAGTAGATGTAAGATGTTACAGCCTTTATCTTAACATTCTGAGATTAAGAAAGTTTTGCCCTCTCTTTAGACCTATTTTAAATGCATACAGCCTTTGTATGATAGTAAGAAATCTTTTCAGTTTATCTTCTAGTGAACCCTATTTCCATTTATATTTAGAGAGGGTTTCACCAGCACCTCCCTCTGTGTAAACATACGAACTAGTGTGCAGAAGAGGCATGATAATGGACAACTATTTACTACTTGATTTTGCTAATTCTTATATATACAATCCCTGTTGTGAGTGACTCCTCTGTGGAAAAAAAAACAGATGCTGTCTTTTATAGATTACTGTAAGGTTTTTTGTTGTTTTTGTTGTTTTTTTTTTGGGTGGGGCAGCGGAGAAGTAAAACAAGATCCTTTATTTAGACAGCATGAACTTACTGCTGCCCAACTAGTGTTGTCCTGGGTTTGGAATGGCCCCGGAAATTTTATTTCTTAGTTACACTGATTATTCAGCAGTGCTGTAGAATTCACACAAGTGTTTTGCTTAGCTAAATTAACTTGTTATACAAAACATTTTCTGTTCCTGGGTCCAATAATACCAACTTTTCATCTTGGCTCAAATTTGGAAACTTACTTGGGAACCTTTATAAATAATTACATTGGCTGTTATTTGGAAGACTGTTTAGACATAGACTAGAAAGTTATGAGACATTTATTTTATGAATTTTGATACTGCATTTTTATGATTTTGAAGTTATTTTTATAGATCTTATATTTGTTCTGGGATACTCCTCTTCTCCCCAGAGAAGGAATTCAGATAAACTTTGTTTAAAGTTAATGCAGATTTTCTGGTAACTTCAATAAGAATAAATTTAATAAGAATAAATTGTGTATATTTAATAATTTAATAAGAATAAATCATGTATATTTCAGATGTATGAATCAATTGTTTTAGGCCGTTTTTTCTTTTGGGGCTTATCACAGCTATAGTCTGTTTCATGAAATCTTAGTAGTTTTCCAAGGAAAAGTTGTTTGTCATTCTATTTTCAAATCACTCTTGTCGGGAAGACTTGTAATAGATTTTTGGTGATTAAGACCTTCTGATGTGAAAACTTTCCTCTTTTAGATTTGTTTATAAATTTCTAGGCTATTTTTGGAAAAAAATACTAATTGTCATTTTTTTCTCTCACAGCTTCATATCCTCCAATTCAGCCTCATCCTCTAATAAAACATCAGCAGATTCCTCTTCATTCACCACCTCCCAAGGTTTCCCATCATCAGCTGATATTACAGCAGCAGCAACAGCAAATTCAGCCAATCACACTTCAAAATCCAACTCAAGACCCACCCCCATCCCAGCACTGTATGCCACTCCAAAACCATGGCCTTCCTCCAGCTCCTAGTAATGCCCAGTCACAGCATTGTTCGCCCATTCAGAGCCATCCCCCTCCTTTAACAATGTCTCCTAGCCAGTCACAGTCAGCACAGCAGTCTGTAGTGGTGTCTCCCCCGCCGCCTCATTCTCCAAGTCAGTCTCCTACTATAATTATCCATCCACAGGCCCTTATTCAGCCACACTCTCTTGTGTCCTCGGCTCTCCAGCCAGGGCCAAACCTGCAGCAATCCACTGCTAATCAGGTGCAGCCTACAGCACAGCTGAATCTTCCATCCCATCTTCCACTTCCAGCTTCCCCTGTTGTGCACATTGGCCCAGTTCAGCAGTCCGCTTTGGTGTCCCCAGGTCAGCAGATTGTGTCTCCAACATCACACCAGCAGTATTCAACCCTGCAGTCCTCTCCAATCCCAATTGCAACCCCTCCGCAGATGTCGGCATCTCCTCCAGCTCAGATTCCACCACTGCCCTTGCAGTCTATGCAGTCTTTACAAGTGCAGCCTGAAATTCTATCCCAGGGCCAGGTTTTGGTGCAGAATGCTTTGGTGTCCGAAGAGGAGCTTCCAGCTGCAGAAGCTTTGGTCCAGTTGCCATTTCAGACTCTTCCTCCTCCACAGACTGTTGCGGTAAACCTACAAGTACAACCACCAGCACCTGTTGATCCACCAGTGGTAAGCCCTTGGAAGCTCTTTGACTTTCTTGCTGAACTGAGAGTAAAAACTATTTTCTCCCACGTTATGTTATATTGCTAGATCTAAATGCCTTTGAATTTTAAAAGCTTGAAATTTCCATCTGTCAGTGTCTGACAAACATGCTCTATGGGCAAAAAAAAAAAAAAAAAATGCCATTTGTTATAGTATGGTTGCATGCTTGATAATTTGTGATGGTTATTAAAGTCCCTCGTTAATTTTATTACTATTTAAACAAATCCATCTGCTATCTTTACAGAGTTGATTTTTTTTCCCCAAGGGAATGCATTTGAACCAGTGTCATCTGCACAAAGTTTTTTCTCTTAAGGTGATTATCCTTCATAGATCCCTTCTGTTGGCTTGTATGTTCTTAAACGTATGGTTTATCTACCTAACCTTTTTGGTTGTGTGCATTTTGAAGTCCTGGGCCTTTATGGGCTTTGGTTTCAAGGTGGAGGTATGCTTGTATGATGTAATTTTGGGGTAAAATTATATTGTGTAATTAAATTTTGTAGAAAAGACATTTACTCCAGGAGAGAATGCAGCTTTGTGAAAAACATTAACTGTAGCCCATCTTTTAGAATTACTAAACTTCTGATTTTTAAATTTCTATGAAGAGAAGAGATATACTTTAAATGTTTCTCATTTAAAAAGCTAAAAAATGCTCAGTGGATAAATTGAATACTGAGGAGGAAAAAAATCAATTGGGAGGAATAAAAGTTCTGAATAATTGAGATCATGGTGAAATTTATCAGAATAAATCTCTAGCAATGGTACATGTAGCCTGGAAAAGAAAATTAGCTTGAGGAGTGTTTTTTTTAAACATTGTCTATGGGGCGCCTGGGTGGCTCAGTGGGTTAGAGCCTCTGCCTTCGGCTCAGGTCATGATCCCAGAGTCCTGGGATCAAGCCCCACATCGCAGCCCCGCATCGCAGCCCCGCATCGCAGCCCCGCATCGCAGCCCCGCATCGCAGCCCCGCATTGCATCGGGCTCTCTGCTCCGCAGGGAGCCTGCTTCCTCCCCCCTCTCTCTGCCTGCCTCTCTGCCTACTTGTGATCTCTGTTAAATAAATAAATAAAATCTTAAAAAAAAATAAACATTGTCTAAAAGACTTTTCAAATTTGTAAAATAATTTATAATAAAAATTGAAATAAGGTCTCTAAATGTTTAGGCAGAATGCTCAAATTAATAATGAATTTATAATTGAGGAAAATAGTCTTCCCAAAGAAGGTTTCATATCAGATTTCACTGAAAAGATTTTATCACTTAAAATTAATAATCATTAATTCAGAAAGGAAAGGAGTTTCAAAGTCTCTTCCTTAATGGGAAACATTTTAGTTTTCAGGATGCAAATTTATAGATTCTTTATTCTTATCATCCCCATTGATGTTAATAGGCATAAAGAAATTGACTTCCACTTCTAATTTACCTTTATTAAAAACAGCTCAATAGGAACAATAGGCATCTAGAAATAAGTTTGTCATTCATTTCTCATGTATCTTTTTTTAGATTTTTGACGAATTTACAATGAATATTTTAATATAAAACATAGGCTTCCAAGTATACAGTAATTTCTAAGAAATTTTAAATTTATATTCTTTCTAGCTCAGTGATTTGGGTTTTAATAAGTAAAAAGTAAAATTTCTTAGTATGCCTTCTAATTTTCTAATTGTTTTTATTAGGGGAAACTTTGGAGGAACATATTTGGGATAGGAATACCAACATAATAAGACATTAAAGCTAAAAAATTTGAGGTCTTGGTAGTTCTTGCTGTCTTCTTTTAAAAACAATTTTTAAAAAAAAAATCTAGATTTTTCTTATTTTTGGAAGTTTTTGTTTTCCCTCACGAAAGAGTAACTTATGCTTTTGTCACTGGTGTGCTCATACTTTCTATGGATGTTCCTATGTTATTTTTCTTACCTTTTATGTTTCTTTTAGTACCATACCCTATTTATTAAGTTACTCTGTTTTTCTTTCATTGCCTTTGATCTCATTTTTTTAAATCAAATCATGTTTCTTCATGAATTATGCATCTCTTCACAGTTACCTGGTTGTTTCAAATATTTAAAGATAATATCTATTTACTTTTTAAGAGATGTGAAATTTTAAAAGATTAAGTGTGAATTGTCAAAGTAAAAGTGTATTTTTTAAAAAATATATTTATAAAAGATACATTTATAAAACTAAGATTTTTCATTGACATTTGGGTATGATAAGATATGTGAGAGTAGATAATTTGAACTAGTAAATGTTCTACAGTTTATTTAGGAAAGGAAGACAGATGGGACTAATGTATTTTATTGAGGTAAGTTTGGCACTCACTGCTGGTTTTAGAATAGTTGTAGTTATGAGCTAAACAGAAATTGTGTTGTGCAGTCTTCTAATGATCTTGTGAGTAAAACCTCCATTTCTTTGCTTTATTCAATATTTTAGTTGTTGCACTTGGATTTTTTTATGCTCATGGTGCCAGATGTCTGTGGCAGATGTTGTTGCCTACTTCTTTTATTAACCTATTTTGCCTTTACATAGCAGATTTGGAAGAAAGTATATATAGTTAGGCTTACCTATAAAGAATGACAAATATTTTATAATATTCTTTGATGGATTATTTCAGTATGTGCTGTTTATGTTATGACTCTTATCCTTTAAAACTCTTAAATTATTTTTTAAAACAGAGTTTTTAAACTCAAAAATCAAACTTAGATTCCTTAAAAGTTACTGTAGTATGTTTTAAAAACTTCTGATAACATTAATATTAAAGAGAGAATTTCAACATTTTAAGAAAAGATGATATCTAATAAATGAATGTTACACAGATAAAATTGAACTGGTTGATAAAACCATACTTGTCTAATTACCTCTGAATCAACATCCCTACCACTGCCAAGTTAAGGTAATCCCGACAGCAGATGCTCCTCAGTAGAAGATTTTATTGTTTTTTCCTTTAACCCCCTGACATTTCTTTTGGATGACTTTCCTTGTATTGGACATTATTGTCATTAAAAAAAATTATCATTGTACTGTATAATAATCAGCTGTTTTTACTTCTGAGCATCCAGACATAAGGCAGGGAATCTCTCAGTGAAACAGGTTTCCAGGTGCAGGGTTGGCAGCAAATAACTTAAAAATGTAGTCTACTTGTTGAATCAGATTACAGTTCTGGATATTATAATTGGTATAAGATTATCAGTAACTGGAAGATTCTTAAACTTTTTTTTTTTAGGATTTCTAAATTTTTAAACAAAGGAAAAGACATCTTTTTCTTTTTAAGATGTTTTATTTATTTATTTATTTTTTAAGATTTTATTTATTTAGTTGAGAGAGACAGACAGCAAAAGAGAGCAGGACAGGGAGGAGAGGGAGAACCAGGCTTCCTGCTGAGCTGGGAGCGCATTGTGGGATTCGATGCTAGAACGCTGGGATCATGACCTGAGCTGAAGGCAGATGCTTAACTGACTGAGCCACCCAGGCGTCCTGAGATATTTTATTCTTAATAGAGGCTTGGAAAGTTAGGGTTTTTTTTTTTTTTTTTAAACTCTATCACTGTTGCTAGATTTATTCCTTTGTAGATGAAACTTGATAGTCCTTTTAATAACACATGCTTTATTCTGGTTTTAATAATTTTAACCATTTTTGTATTTAATTTTATATACTTCAAATCACCAGACCTTTTCAGTAGTTTGATTAAAAATACATATAGTATTAGATATCACAAAGTTTTTTGTGAATGTTGAGAGATTCTTGTTTCAATGTTTATTAGAAATATTAATCAGTTTAGGTAAGTAATCTTAAAAACTCATGACCTTCGTAAATTTAAGTAATAAGCTTTGTATATAAAAGAAAGGAAAGGAACTGCTTTGTGGCTTTGTTTTTAGTAGCCTGTCATTTTTCAAAAATAATGGTTAAGTGTGATGACAAAATAGTCTAAAAGTGGCCTTGGGAAACAGTCTTAAGTTTAATGAATAATTAATAAGTTATATTAAGTTACATAGTACCTTCTCGGATCGAGTCCATGTTTTCTTCTTAAAGTGTGCTCTTTAGCATTAGATAACAAGGTTGTTAAGTTAAAAACTTAAAAACTTTATAAGGAACCGTATTAAAGAACTAAAAATAATATGCTAAATGGCTTATTAGGAGGGGTGTGTGTGTGTGTGTGTGTGTGTGTGTGTGAATGTATGTATATTATTTCAAGGACATATATTTTCTGTTTACCTGGTACTAGCTTATAAAACTTCATTAGATTCTTGAGTAGATCAGAAAATTAAAGATATAATTGCATACCTTTTTTGTATGTTTTCAGATATTTTCATAATTTAATCTTCAGTTCACATGAATATAATAAAGAGGAGCCTGGGGTATCATCCTTTAAACAGTTCCTGATATATGTCATTTTGGAGATTTACTTAGTGGGTTTGTGAAAAATACTAGTATTTATTTTGACTTAATGACAGTTGAAGTTAATAGAAACAATAGTAAATTCCCTAAATAGTTATTTGAATGTATAAAGTCAAAACTTTTTTTTAATTCTCAAAACTAAAAATATGCTCTGATTTGACTTTCACCTTTTTGAAACTTTAGTACTTTGTATCTTAGTTACTGATCCACAGCTTTCTTTTAGTGAAATATTGTCAAGCATTATGAAAAGCCTCACTTGAGTTGTTTTAAAGTTTTCCTTTCAGTCTGTCAAATAATCATTCTGTCTTTTTAAAATTTAAAACGCTTAGAATTTTTTTTTTTTTCAGTTAAGTTAGAAACACCTTAGTAAATGTATTTTTAGAAACATTTTAAGGTCGTGTGGTTTGTCATTGCAGGTTTATCAAGTAGAAGATGTGTGTGAAGAAGAAATGCCTGAAGAGTCAGATGAATGTGTCCGGATGGACAGAACACCACCACCACCCACACTGTCTCCAGCAGCTATAACTGTGGGGAGAGAAGATTTGACTTCTGAACATCCTTTGTTAGGTAAGGAAATACCTAAATTTTGGAGAATTTTCTATTAGGTAAATGTTAATAATGTTTAGTAAACTTAATGATGTTTAATAACTGGAAATAGTATTAAGCTATTATGTAATTACAGCAAAATACAGATAGAATTCAAGATTTTTTAAAAATGAGGAACAGTAAAAACAGTTAATGAGGAACTACCCAAATAAAAAACATTCTGTAGCATTCTAATTTTTGGAAGTTTGCACAGATATATTTTATATGTCCATTAAGATTCATGTGTCAAGCTATTGTTTAAAAATTAGAATAAATTAGAATAATTCATTAAAAATTAGAATAAATCAGAGTACTATTAAAAGATTCCAGTTATGCTTTCCAGAAATCACAAAGCATTCTGAGTCATATCTGACATTCCTCATAATTGCTTATGATCCAGGCTGAGTCTGTTTTTAAAAGTCTTCACTTCTTTCCTAGACAGTTCTTAAATTAAACCTCACTAATTTTCACTAGAGACATGGATTAAAAAATTCTTGGCCTTAAGCATTTAAATTTTTATTCATTACTTTCGTGCTACTCATGCTGTGTACTCCTCACAATGTTAAAGTGACTGTGAATCCTAGGTGTTTTACTAAAACATTAGTATGACCTAGAGCCCAGTGTCTAGGTCCTAAAAAAGACAATAGTCCATGTTAGATTTTTATTTTTATTTATTTAATAAGAACTTTTCTTTCTTTTTTTTTTTCCCCTTTAAACATGGGGCTTGAACTCATGACCCTGAGATCAAGAGCTGCATGCTCTACTATCAGATTCTTTAAAAATTTATGAATAATGTATTTAGATTGGGGTTGGCAAACTATAGTTCATGCTTTAAATCTTTCCTGCTGCCTGTTTTTGCATGGCCCATGAGCTGAGGATGGTTTTAAAATTTTTAAATGGTTGAAAAAAAAATCAAAAGAAAAGTAATATTTTATGCCACGTGAAAATCATGCTGAATTCAAATTTCATTGTCCATAAAAACATTCTGTATAACACAGCTGCCTTTATGTATTCGAATATTGTCTTTACTTTTGCATTACTGTGGCAAAGAAGAGTAGTTGCAGAGCCCATATAGCTCTTCATAGAAAGTTTGCTGACCCTTGACCCAGATAATCCTAACCTTGATTCAGTCTTCCTTGTAAGTATTTAGTTCTCCTGAACTCCTCATGGCCCTTGTGATTATTTACAGTAAACAAGAACCACCATCACCTAACTGCAAACAAACTGTAACAGGACATTGACTTTGCTACCAAAGATACCCTTGCCCTCTCTCTTTTTTTTTTCAAGTGTGCCAGTGCTCTCACCCTTCCCTTCTCTCTGATTTCCTTCCTTACTATCAGTGCGAATCTCTGGAAAGCACAGAAGGGGGAAAATCAGTTTTCTTCCAATATTTTCTCCCTGCTGAGAAATAGAAAATGTTTAGTCAGTAAAATGATATAAAATGTTTAAGACAAGTTTAATACTATTGCCTGTGTTTATTCATAGTAATACCACAAAAGATAGATTTAGGAAAATCTATAGCATTAAATCTTTGTAGTTTCTCTGAACTGAAAATGGATTTAATGTTGCTGCAGATTGCCTGGAGTTTGATTTAAAGGCAGGAATAAAAGTTTAATTAGGTACTAACCTTGCATTGTGAGCATGATTTAATTACCTAAAAAATTATTAATGGTAATACAAAGAAAATTTAAACACTCCTGAAAAATTGGAACACAAAAACATCTTCATATTTTTTTCCTCAAGAATTCAGGGCAAGATCCTGTCAAGCAAATCCCTCTGGCTAAATTGTCTGAGTACAATGTAGACTTCTGAATGTTCCTGTAATTTACTTCATACTTACTACAGTGTGTATGAGGGGAAAAGCAAGCACAAATTGACTTTTAGAATAACTTTCATTAAATCATGAAATAAACTGACTTGCCAAAATAGAGGGATTTATTTCCATCCAGTATTCAGTTTTTATAAATCTTTAAAAATTGGGACGCCTGGGTGGCTCAGTTGGTTAAGCAGCTGCCTCCTGCTCAGGTCATGATCCCAGTGTCCTGGAATCGAGTCCCACATCGGGCTCCTCGCTTGGCAGGAAGCCTGCTTCTCCCTCTGCCTCTGCCTGCCGCTCTGTCTGCCTGTGCTCGCTCTCGCCGTCTCTCTCTCTCTCTCTCTCTCTCTCTGACAAATAAATAAATAAAATCTTTAAAAAAAAAATTTAAAAAATAAAAAAAATTAAAAAAAATTTTTTTAGAAGTGAAAAGCATCCATTAAAAAAGGTGGAAAAAGCTCATAGATCTTGCTTAGAAAATGAGACTGTGAATAGGCAGAGTTCTGTCAGTTGTGTTTTCTCTCCCAGTTACCGTAAATCTAGAGAGTGTAATAATTGTGTTTTTGTTCTGCTGTAATACATCAGTGTTTGTCATATGTTTTATTTTAACAGCTGATTATACACTGGCAAGTAACAGTTATTAGCGTCTTCAAAAAGTTAGTAACTTACAGCTCTAGTTTTAACAACACTTAGGATGTTAGAAGATGGGCGCATACGATCTAAAAATTAGTTAGAACATACATCAAGCAGTATCTTCTTAACAAACCATACTCTACTTGACACAGCTATACATATATTTAAAGCTTTTATTTATTTATTTATTTGACAGAGGGAGGGCACAAGTTAGGGGGAGGGGCTGAGGGAGAGGGAATCTCAAGCAGATTCTGTTGAGCTGGGAGCCTGACATGGGGCTCAGTGTCACAACCCTGAGATCATGATCTGAGCCAAAACCAAGAGTCAAATGCTTAACAGATTGAGCCACCCAGGTGCCCTAAGGTGGCTTTTATTTCTAAAATAACAAAGTATCTATAAATCTGTAAGGGACATTAAAATTTTATCTTATTTTTCAGTATCCCATAGATTTATATTTTCCTTCAAACAGACAAAAATACCTTTCAGTCCCACATTAGAGTTTTATAATTTTTATCCCTTTTCCTCTAGGAGTAAATGTGAAGATTTGGTATGTAGGATAGGATTTTCCTGGAGTTCTCCAGTTTGGTAAAGCAGGTGTACAATACTGTGTTTGTTCCCGAAATCAGCAAACTAGCATTTTCTGTTGACTATCTTGTTTAGTTTCTAATAAGGGATTGTGTAATTTTAAACTGTTTTTCCAGTGTAATTTACCTTGGTGGATTATTTGATGTGGCATTAATAAATGCCATATAATAGTGCTGTGATAAGCTATATTATGATATTAATCACAGTTTCTGAGTATGAATTGTTAGAGTTTTTCCATTTCTGAGATTATACAGATGATCAGTACACTATTTTCTTAGCTGAAATTTTATTCTTTAGGGATTCCTATTCTCTACCCAACTGGGCTGTATTTGAGCATCTTTGATAGTGGTGCTAACCCTTTTCTTACTAGTGGAGAGTAGTTACCCCAGCAATTAAGGACCCCCTGGGTTAGTATCCCAGCTCCATTACATAATTAGTTGTGTGCCCTTGGGTAAGTTACTTTATTTTTCTGTTTCCACACTATGAAATGGAGATAACAATAGTACCTACTCTTGGGCTAGTTTTGAGAGTTAAATGAGTTACAGGATGTGAGGCATTTACACAGTACCTGGCATGTAAGTGTTCAGTAAGTTGTAGTATTATCTTGAGACATATGCTATTTTTTTGTTACTTTTTTTAGACGTCTGTAATCACGGATATTTTTAGCTGCCAGCCGGTTCCATCTATCTACTTTAGTACATACAGTCAGTGAAGGTTTGGTGCTATCATATGGGTAGGTAAAGTCTGTCATAGGCTGTGGGGTCTCTCTTATTGTGGTCTTCAGAGGTTGAAGGGGAGGGATCACAGTGATCCAACCAATATTTTGCAGTTGCCTGATATTAAAGTGCTCTCCCAAACCGACATACACAGTGTCACTGAAGAGTTGTTAAAAAAAATTGTGTATGGATTTGGTTTAGCCTTACTACATGAAATAAAGATGATGCTGTGTAATCCTGTAAAAATCTCTACTTATTCTGTGGATTTGATGATCCTTTTTTATTTAAGTATACTTTCAGAGTACTCCCCCCCCCATGCATCTGGAATATATAAACAGGAACATAGGGAATTTAATATTTGTGTAGCTTGAAATTTTTTTTAAAAAGGAACAGTTTTCATAATCATTCTCAAATTGACATTCTAAAACACTTTTCATATCTTACAGGACAGTTCTTTTAACCAGGGTTGGAACAATCACTTTGAGCAAGTTATTCCCTTCTGTAAAGTGGGGATAGTAGTAGCTTCTATCTCATGAGATTAAATGAAAGTTCTTAGAATGGTGTTTTAAAGCACCAGATGTGGACTTTTATTGTTAATAAAGTTTATTCTGGAATTTTTTTTTCTTATTTGCTGCACAGAATGCTAAAGATAAAAAAAATGACTTTTTGTTTCAGAGCAAGTGGAATTACCTGCTGTGGCATCAGTCAGTGCTTCAGTAATTAAATCTCCGTCAGATCCTTCACATGTTTCTGTTCCTCCACCTCCACTCTTACTTCCAGCTGCTACCACAAGGAGTAATAGTACGTCGGTGCCCAGCAGCATTCCCAGTATAGAAAACAAACCTCCACAGGCTATTGTTAAACCACAGATCTTAACCCATGTTATTGAAGGCTTTGTGATTCAGGAGGGATTGGAGCCATTTCCTGTAAGTAGTAAGCAAATTTGTATTTTTTCAATTATTCAAGTGGCATTATCTTTAAATGAAGTATATTTGTTCTTTAATAAAATGCTAATAATTTTATTTCAAAAAAGTTGTCAATCTCTTATTTAGAATTTCTCTATATGTTATTTATATATTTCTAGAATTTTTATGCTAGCTATATATAAACTAAGGAAAAAATTTCAGGATATTAAGGATATCAATTTTATAATTTTTAGAGAAAGATAATGGGAAGTTTACTCTAGTAAAATAAAATTTTTTCTTTTTTTAAGAGGACTGAAATGACACCTAAAGTACATTATTTTTTAAAAAACAATGTTTCTTATATAATGCATACTTTGTGAACTTTAACTTGAGTGCATAAAATAATAATTTCCCAATGACCTGATACTTCTGAAGTTACCCAGTTGATGGTTTATAATTAGCAAGTAGATTTTCTCATTCTTAAATCTCAGCCTTCAGTCAAATTTTAAAAATGCCTTAAAATCTTCACTTCACGTTGGAGATGTTATTTCTGTCAGCATAAGTCTTATAAGTTGAGACTAGCTGTATATAATTTATATAATAATATCTAGAGATGAATATTTTTCCATAGAAAATAAATCAAAGACAAGTGGCCAAAGTCAAAGCCAAAATCTAAGACAAGAAAACAAAATAATTCATTTCAAAGGCATTTTATACCCATTTTTTTTAGATTCATGGGTGGTGAAGATTTTGCATTGTGTTCGTGGGTTGCCTCATCATTTGCTCTTGTATTCAGTTAACTGTGTTTTAAATTTGGGTCTCCTATAAGAATTCTGAGAGTGGAGCAATAGTCTTTTTTCCCTGCTCCTCAGGGTTTGGATCTTGGCAGTGCTGCATACAGTAATCTTTGTTAAGGTACTCAACCTTTATGATCTTAAGTTTTGCTCATCTGGCAAACAGAGATGATACTTGGCTGTGAGGGTTATTGTGAGGATTAGATATGCGCACGTTGTTCTTTGTAGTTCCTGGCACTTGTACCCATAGCTTCTGTTATTAACAGTGACAGTTATAACTTTTTTTCTGATTACAAAATTAATAATGTATTATTTTAAATGGAAAATACGAGAAATATACAGAGCAGATAATTCCCAGTAACATCACATGTGTATTATTTTACATATATATTTCGTATGATCAAGATTATTATATATATAGTTCTGCTTCTGTCACTTAGGATATTTAGAGCTTTTGTTTTCTTGTATGATTAATAGTACTTTGGAAACATTTTGAAAGGTTACATAATACTCCACTTTATGGAAACCATAATTTATGTAATCCTTGCATTATTGTTAGACATTTTAGGTTTCCATATTTAGTAATTTCTTTAGCACGAATTCCTAGAAGTACAGATATTGAATCACATTACATATGTATTAATAAGGCTCACGATATATATTGCCAAATTATTTTCTGGAAAGATTACTTATTTGCAGGGCGCCTGGGTGGCTCAATGGGTTAAACCTCTGCCTTTGGCTCAGGTCATCATTACAGGGTCCTGGCATCGAGCCCCACATCGGGCTCTCTGCTCAGCGGGAAGCCTGTTTCCCCCTCTCTGCCTGCCTCTCTGCCTACTTGTGATCTCTGTCTGTCAAACAAATAAATAAAATCTTAAAAAAAAAGATTACTTATTTGCTTTATTTTTATTTTTAAAGATTTTATTTTTAAGTAATCTCTACACCCAATGTGGGACTCAAACTTACAACCCCAGGATCAAGAATTACATGCTCTTCTGACAGGGGCTACCAGGTGCTCCTGGGAAGATTATTTAAATACAGTCTCACACCAGAAGTGTAAACTCTTAGCAGCACTGAGTATTACAGTTTCTTCAGCAATACCCTTCGTAAATTTTACTTGAGGTATATTAAATATACTAACTGAAATGAACAAAATTTAAGAATTCATGGTGGATAATTCTCTGAAGTTAAATGTAGAAATTTACAAATTTATAATAAGCTATCGTTCACCATCTGTGTCAGATATTGGAGACTTAACCAGCATTCTTAAAGGAGGTTCTATTTCAAATTTGCTAAAGGTTCACTTGCAAATCAGTAAATATTTTTGGTCTGGATTGTTTTTGCTGAAAACATTTCTAAAATAAGTAGTATTTTTTTTTTAATTTTTTTTTTTAAAGATTTTATTTATTTGACAGAGAGAGATCACAAGTAGACAGAGAGGCAGGCAGAGAGAGAGAGAGAGAGAGGGAAGCAGGCTCCCTCCTGAGCAGAGAGCCCGATGCGGGACTCGATCCCAGGACCCTGAGATCATGACCTGAGCCGAAGGCAGCGGCTTAACCCACTGAGCCACCCAGGCGCCCCTAAAATAAGTAGTATTTATGACTTAACCAAGTATATTGAATTATAAGTATTTTGTTACTGATTTTCATGTTAATGTTTGAGGATTTTTCCATTTCTTTTTGTGATTATAATGGATTAGGTTGCTGAACTAGGAGTCAGGAGACCTGAGTTCTAGTCCTGATTCTGCTTTTGTAAAGAAACCACCTAAACACTAACATTAGTTCACTTATCTTTAAAGTACGTACAGTAGTGATCTATCTTAAAGAGACAACCCTAGGAGTAAAAAGCTTTGTGCATGAAAAATAAATCTTAAAAGTTGTTGCACGAAGAAAATAAGGATACTGGCTAATCAAAATTTATTACAGATTTTTATTATTTATTTATTTATTTAAAAAAAACTTATTTAGTTCAGTGAGAAAGAGAGCATGAGCTAGCACAGGGGTTGGGTGTAAGGGGTCAAGGGAGAGGGAGAGAGAGTCGTAGGCAGACTCCATGCTTAGCGTGGAGCCCCAGAGCAGGGCTTGATCTGATCTCATGACCCTGAGATCATGACCTGGGCTGAAACCGAGTCAGATGCCTGACTGTGCCACCCTATTACTGCATTTTAAAGACATTTTAAACTACTTGCCTAAACTAGGATACTCGGTTCCATTTGACAAGAGACTTTGAAGCATACGTAGTGCTGATGACTTGAATTACGAACTGTTGATGTCCAGATTGCCTAAAATTTTCTTAAGGAATAAAGCACTTAGTGAATCAGTTCAGCTGATCAGTTGAACAAGTAAATTAGCACAGATACTATCCATTCCAAGAGGTTTTTTAACGAAGTTATTTCTGAAAGTCCTCTTAAAAGATTATTTTTTTCTCTTTTTCTTTTAAAGGTAAGTCGTTCATCTTTGCTAATCGAACAACCTGTGAAAAAAAGGCCTCTTTTGGATAATCAGGTGATAAATTCTGTATGTGTTCAGCCAGAGCTACAGAATAATACAAAGCATGCAGATAATTCATCTGACACAGAGATGGAAGACATGATTGCTGAAGGTTTGTGGATTTTACTTAAGATACTGTTTAAATTAACTTTGACTTCTACCATTTGAAACAGGATATGGATTTTTATTCTACACATATTTTCATACACTAAGAAGCTATTCACTTTTTATTATTACATAATGCATTATTTAACTGAAGTAAATGAAAAGCTAATCAGACTTTTAATGGCTACATCATTCAAATAGAAAGATTGATGTTTAATTTGCATAATGTCAATTTGACTTTTGAAGGAGTGTGGGAGGGAAAGTTCTACAATGTATGAAAGTAATTTAGAATTTTAGCATCAAAGCAATCAGTTCTCTTTTTTTCCTAAGCAGAGTTAACTAAGTGTTTTACTGAGTTTGCTTAAAAATTTAAAGCTCTTGGGTTGTTTGGTTTTAGACTTTTCTGTATCCTGATGTTTGATGTCAGGTAGGTGTTACAGTTGTATTAAGGATCTACTTGTCAATCAAGAGGAGATTAAATTTGTTCAAAGAGGAAAATATCACTAAATCTTAATGTCAGAGATTTCCTTTTTTTTTTTTAAGATTTTATTTATTTATTTGACACAGAGACAGACAGACAGTGAAAGAGGGAATACAAGCAGTGGGGATGGGAAAGGGAGAAGCAGGCTTCCTGCCGAGCAGGGAGCCTTTGGGATCACCACCTGAGCGGAGGGAAGGCAGACGCTTAACTACTGAGCCACTCAGGTGCCCCCAGAGATTCCTTCTTTATAGATGTCAGTATAATAGTGAAATACTCCAGAAAAGTCAGTTGTATACAAAATGACTATAGGAAAACAAACACAAATAAATGCAGAAGTGATATATTTTATTTTTTATTGATTCTGATCATGGCCCTGTAATTGTGATACAGTTTAGTCAAATAGCATTTAGTATAGCCAGAGGGCTCTACAGTAGTGATTTAGTTAATATCTGTGTCTAAGTAATTATCCTTAATATCTTAGTATATTTCATGTAAAATTAATTTTCACATGTTTATTGAGCATATACTATATGTGCCTGTACTTTGGCGAATCAAGCAAAATAGTATGCTTGTAAACAAAATAGTCTTTGCCCACGGTTTTTCTGTTTCTTCAAAGCAAGGCACCTCTGTCATTGTCAGTAAGTTATAAACTGTTGAAATGTATTCATCACTGGTTTACCTTTTATTTGAACCGCAAAGAGTATGTTAGTAGTATAAAATTTGGTTTTTACTGCTAACTTATATTGAGATCACTGTGATTTTTTTCACTTTAAAAGAATGTTAACAATGAAAAATTTCAAACATACATAAATTTAGAATTCTATAATGACTCCTTGCTCACCCAGACTCAACATTGTTACCCAATTTCAAACATAATTTTTGCCATTCTAGCTTCATCTATCCCTTTTGTTTTCCTCCCTCCATTCCCCCTTCTCTTTCTCTATTGCCTTTCTCTTTATCTTATCTTCCCCCTTTCTGTTAAAAAAAAAAAATTCATAGTCCTCATTTCATTTCACTGGTATATAATTCATTGTGCATTTCTAAAAAATATACATTTTCTTATGTAACTATAATGCTACATCACACAAAACAATATTAACAGTAGTTCTTTAGGGTCATTTCATACCTGGTTCATATTGAGATTTCCTTATTTATATAATTGTGTAAATTTTTATAAATATCCTTTTATAGTTATTTTTCAAATCAGTATCTAGACAGTGAATACATTTTGGCTTTTATTATGAACTTAATTTCACTTAATTCCTGAATACTTTGTTATGCATAGTATTTTATCTGAGAAAATGTTTCATTTGAGATGAAGAGTAGTAAAGATGAATATGCAGGGTTTTGTTTTTTTTTTTCTTTTTTTGGTTGTGGGGAGGGCCAAAGGGAGAAGGAGAGAGAATTTCATGCAGGCTCTATCTCTGGCACGGGGCCTAATTCGAGGCTTGATCTCACAACCCCATGAGCATGACCTGAGCCAAAACCAAGTGTCGGATGCTTAGCTGACTGAGCTACCCAGGTACCCTGCAGGAATTTTTTTTTTCCTTGCCTATAACTACAAGAAGTGAATAAATGAAAGTTCTAAGCTAAAAAGCATATATAATATGCCCTATTGTGCGTACACATTGGAGAAAAATGGAAAATTGGTTAGGAAGCTTCACAGCATAGGTCATGATACTCATGGTTTATAATATAATAGACATACAGCCTATATTAGACTGTGGTTGAACCTGGGAGGAGCTTTTGATCTAGTAGGAACTAGTGAATTTAAGATAACTAAGGAGTAACATGTGGTAAGTTTTAAATGAATTGTATAGATGGTAAGAACTTGGGACCTAAAAACTGATTTTAAAACCAGTTGAGATCAACCATGCTGTGCTTTTAAAACCACAATGAGGTATCACCTCACACCAGTCAGAATGGCTAGTATCAAAAAGACGAGAAATAGCAAGTGTTGGAGAGAATGTGGAGGAAAGGGAGCCCTCATGCACAGTTGATGGCAATGTAAATTGGTGCAGCCACTCTGGAGAATAGTATAGTGGTTCCTCAGAAAACTAAAAAAAGATGTACCATATTAATTCCACTTCTGGGTATTTACCCAAAGAAAATGAAAACACGAATTTAAAAAGATATATGTACCCCTATGTTTACTGTAGCATTATTTACAGTAGCCAAGATATGGAAGCAACTTAAGTGTCCGTCATCAATAGATGAATGAATGAAGAAGATGTGGTATATATACACAATGGAGTATTTCTCAGCCATAAAAAAGAATGAAATCTTGCCATCTGTGACAACATGGACGGACCTATAGGGTATTATGTTAAATGAGATAATCCATACTGAGCAAGACAAATACCCTATGATTTCACTCATACGTGGAATCTAAAAAATAAGACAAGCAAACAAATAACAATAGAAAGAAGCAGACTTATAAATATGGAGAACAAACTGGTGGTTGCCGAAGGAGAGAGGGTGAGAGGATGGGTGAAATTGGTGAAGGAGATTAAAAGGTACAAACTTCCAGTTATAAATAAGTCACAGGGTTGAAAAGTGTACAGGATAGAGAATATAGTGACTAATATTGTAATATACTTGTAACAAGTATTTCATAATGAATATAATTGCTGAATGACCACCTTTTGCACCAAACAGTCATTTTATTTTTTATTTTTTATTTTTTTTTTCAAAGAGTCATTTTAAATGTTATATGTCAAGTATATTTCAATTTAAAAAAACCTGGTTGATGGAATGTTCTGAATGTGTCTGTTAAATCCATCAGGTCCAGTATGTCATTACTGTCGATTATATCCTTTATGTTTGTTATTAACTGTTTTATGTATTTGGGTGCTCCTTGTTGGGTGCATAAATAATTACAGTTGTTATATCTTCTTATTGAATTGTCCCTTTCATTATAGTGTCCTTTGTCTCTTCTTACAGTCTTTGTTGTAAAGTCTCTTTTATCTGATTGCTGTCCCAGCTTTCTTTTGACATCCATTTGCATGATAAATGTTTCTTCATCCCCTCGCTTTCAATCTACAGGTGTCTTTCTGTCTGACATGAGTCTGTTGTAGGCAGCATATAAATGGGTCTTGTTTTTTATCCACTTTGTCATCCTACGTCTTTTGATTGGAGTGTTTAGTCCAGTTACATTCAAAGTAATTATTAATAGATATGTACTTATTGCCATTTTGTTACTTGTTTAATGGTTGTTTCTGTAGAACACTTGAAAATAATGCAAACTGGTACAACCACCATGGGAAACTGTATGGAGTTTCCTCAAAAAATTAAAAATAGAACTACTCTGTAGTCCAATAATAGCGCTATTAGGTGTTTACCCCTGAAAAACAAAACCACTAATTCAGAAGGATACATGCACCCCTGTGTTTATTGAATCATTATTTACAATAGCCAAACTATGAAAGCAGCCCAAGTGTCCATCAATGGATGAATGGATAAAGAAGATGTGGCATATACATATAATGGAATATTACTCAGCCATAAAAAAGAATGAAATCTTGCCATTATAACAACATGGATAGAGTTAGGGAATATAATGCTGTGTAACATGAGTCAGAGACAGACAGATACCATATGACCTCACTCATGTGGAATTTAAGGACCAAACAAGCAAAGGGAAAAAAGAAAGACTAAGAAACATACTCTTAACTATAGAGAACAAACTGGCTACCAGAAGGGAGGTAGGTGAAATAATGATGGGGATTAAAGAATATGCTTATTGTAGTGGAAAACAACGACAACAAACCTGGCTTTATTGCCAGTTTGCTAAGTTTCCTTTAGAGATGGGATTTGACCTGGGTCTTGGATGATAAAACATAGATAACAAACAGGAAGAACCTTTCAGGTTGGAACCATGAATAAATGTACAAAGGATGTTCACATAACTCTAGGAGGGGACAACAAGGAGTAGACTGTGGGCTTAGAGAAATAGAAGTTAGACTGATAAAATCAGATTCTAGAGTATTTTGGATATTTGACCAAGTTGTTAGGAGTTATCTTGTCAAGAGGATGGTTGCTGAAGATTTTTAGACAGATTAAATGAAAAGAATGTTTTTGGAAGCTGCCGGTAATCTGTAGGATGAACATAGGTTTGGTATGTAATTGATACTTGTAGTTATAGTGGGAAGAGGAAGGAAAGGATGTATGGAAGACAAGGCAAAGGGTAGTTTCACAAGGTAAGTTACCAGAGTAAAGAAAAGGAAGATTTAAAGATGACTAATCTATGCATTGAGTAGTAAATAAGCCATAGAGATCTAATGCATAGTGTAATGAATATAGACAACAGTATTGCTTAGAGACTAAAACTTAAGTATTCCAATCACTAAAAAGAAAGGATAATTATGTAAAGTGATAGAGGGTGATGGAGGTGCTAAATATTGCAACAACAACAAGCATAATATGTAAATGTACCAAATTAACACATTGTACAATTAAATTTGCACAATGTTATAAGGTAAATATAGTCAAAAAAGATTAATCTGTTTCACAGTGGAGCTTTATTTACATAGAGTATGCCAAATTTTTAAATACTTCATAATTTCCCAAGGTAATTTTATAAAGTGTTTCTATTACTGTGTGTTTTAGTGTTTAGTTTATGGGAAGTGGTATAGAGTGAAATGGCGAAGTCATTTGTTTACTGTTATTAGTAGTAAATACAGTTTAATTCAGTACTTAAAAACTTAGTGTAAGGATTATTCTCTTTTTAAAGGACAGTTTCTATTTCTATTTGGAGTGGTTCTGTAACTAGTATCTCCAACCAGTAGATTGTGATTTACCAAAATATCTTTTGTCTCCCATGGTAAATCATATTGATAATGATTTCTATCTCATTGCCTCCCTCTTTTGCTTCATACCATTAAGTGACCTCAAGTTTTACGAAAATTAAAAAGTAACTGCTCCTCCCACACAAAAAATGGGACATCTCTTAGTTAGGATATATGTTTGGCCACTCCATTAGAAACCCAGAATAATATTTGATTAAATAAGGTAGAAGTTTAATTTTTGCCCAAAGGCAGGCAGGTGTTGAACACCTAAGATGCCAGCAAGTTACAATTCTCTCATCCCTAGAATGTTGCTTTTGTTTCCAAGATAGCTAATTTTCATTTTCACATTCTAATCAGTGAGATGGGAGAAAAGGATACCACCTGGAATTTGCAAGCATTTCCGTTCACATGTCATGGATGGCTACACCTAGGGCAGTAACTAGTTTTTATTTTCAGAGCCCATATACCTTGCTGAAATTTAGGATTTTGTTACTGTGGGAAAAAAGCGAAGAATGGACATTGGAGAATTACCAGCTGTCTATGCCATAGACTTCCATCTTTATTAGCTAAAGCAACAGTTTTTTGTCTCTGTAATTTTTTATTCACAAATGTCAAAAAGTAGCCTTGGTAATACCAAATTTGTTAAAATTCTGACAAACATGAGAACAGGGATTTTTGAATGTTAATGTTCCTCTCTTCATTAGGAGAAGTAAAACTGACGTTCATTTTTTGTTACGTTGTCTGTCCTTAGACCATACCTGTTTGGATCTCCCCTCTCTCACCAGCAAAAACACATTCTTCTCCTTTGTAAGGGATTCTAACCTTTCAATATCAAGTATTACATATTGCTACATTAGTGAATACAAGCTTTTTAAATCTTTCAGTATGGTCTGGAAATGGAACAACTTGACTAGATTCTTTGGGGCCAGACTGGTGTCATTGGTGGTGGAGTGAGAGAACCTGTCTCCTGTCAGATCAGGTTACAAGCATGACAAAGTGAAAACAATGCTGGAAGTTATGACATCAGTTCCCGGGAATGTGTTGTTGAGCCGCAGTTGTTCAGAAGCCATTTCTAGGTCATTGGAAGGAGCAATTTTAATTTTACTTGTTTTGAGACTCTTTCTTATTGCTACTCACCAGATGACTTGCTTCTGAAGGTAGTCCTGAAAAATTTTTTTTATAGTGAACTCTTGCTAGTTCATGATTTGATCAGTCATGTTGATATATTTGGATGTCCCTTGGAACTTCAGATATTTCACAGTATGTTTTTTAGTAGTTCTTGTGGTCTTACCTTGACTTAGCACTTTGCTGTTTGCTTCTTCAGTAACACTAGGATACTATGCTTAAATTTTCTGAGTACTTGTCATCCATGTCTACATTTCAGAGTCCCTTTCTTCATCTTTTTTTTTTTTTTTTAATTTTATTTATTTGACAGAGACACAGCAAGAGAGGGAACACAAGCAGGGGGCGTGAGAGAGGGAGAAGCAGGCTTCCTGCTGAGCAGGGAGCCTGATGCAGGGCTCAATCCCAGGACCCTGGGATCATGACCTGAGCTGAAGGCAGACGCTTAAATACTGAGCCACCCAGGTGCCCTTGTATCTGTATTTTCTACCGTATACTGCAGACCTTTGAAAATGTTCTCTTACATGCTCCTCTAAAATCCAGCATATCAGAAGTTTAGTTTCTTTTTGAAGTCATCCTCATTCTGTCCAGTTACAATTAAGTATTCTCTGCTATGTATCTTCATAGCACCATGCACCAAAATTCATATCCTGCACAGTACTTTCTGAGAGCGTTCTTCCTGAAGGTTTTGCCTTATTCATCTTCATTTCTTTTACACTGCTCAATAAAGTTATTTGCCCATTTTAAGTATGTTGGATTTTAGCAAGATGAACCTTTAAAAATGCATTGCTTATTTATACAGAGATAACTCCATAAAATGTTTATGGAGGAGTAAGAGGGAATTGGTGGTTGCAGTTGTTTTTGGAGTATTTTCCTTGCCACAGTGGCTTATCCATTGAAAAGTTAAAAGACCATTCCTTTAAGTTTCCTGGAAGGACTGAACTAGCTGTATCCAACTGAAGTAGATGCTAAAAGAAAATCTGCCACAATTAAATTTTTGGAAGTTTTTTCCTTTGTTTCTTTTTTAGAGACATTAGAAGAAATGGACAGTGAGTTGCTCAAGTGTGAATTCTGTGGGAAGATGGGATATGCTAATGAATTTCTCCGGTCAAAACGATTCTGCACTATGTCCTGTGCCAAAAGGTATTTCTATTCCCTTGACTTTCCTAAAGCGGAAACGAACAACCATTGTAAGAAACCCAAAAAACTTGTAGAGTGTACAAGCAGCCAAAACTAGATACGATAATATAGAGGAAGAATATCAAATAGGCATTATTTGGAGTTACTTTGATATTTAGTTATTAAATTTTGCTCTGTAAGAGTTACGTATTCATAACACTTACAGTGAGTTTTATAGCATATTCTAACATAGAAGTAGCAATCTCCTGGCAAGAATATGCTTAGGAGAATGTCTCTTGTGAACTAGTCCTTAACGTATCAAAACAGTATTTGTTTTATCACCTCATTGTTTGATCAGTATGAAAATACCAGGATTTAAACTGGTTTTGTTTTGTTTTAAACTGTTTTCATTATATTCATATTATAAATATGTTATATTCATTATATGCATATCTGTTCATATATTACTCCTGTTTATCCTGGGTTTTTAAGTGGGACAGCTGCGGCACAAGTTCCCCACATTGTTAAATCATCAGAGAGCAAAATAGGTCTTTTCTAAATCTATTTTCAATAGTAATTTTAGAGGTAAACCGTATTCATAACTAAAGAAGTATCTTCCTTGTTTTCATCACATGTTTAGTTTACATTAAAAAAAAACTCTGATTTTGATAATCAGTCCTAATACAGGTATTGACCATGGGGGTGAAGTGTATGCACAGGTTATTTTGAAGTTTGTTCTCTATTCCAGAAAGTGATTATTCTCTTAAATAATATAAGATCTTAATTGTTTGTATGTAGAATTTTCTTGCATGAACACATTATATTGTATGGTGCCACTACAAGATACTTAGTAAAACTTAAGTTAAAAAAATAATCAGAGTATTTTCCTTCAAAAATGGCTTCATTTGGTTTCTTAGTTAGTTGTCAGTCTTTTATTTACATATTATCTCGTGTTATTGATAGCCCTAACCAAGTTATGTAACTGCTGTTTTAACTTGGGAGTTTTCCAGTTTGCATACACCACAAAAAAGATGAGTGGCTCTCTGATTCTAAGTGATTAAAACTCTGAGGGAAAAGGATGGCCTTTCAGAATATTTTAAATGTTTTGACTGTTAAATATTTTAGGACATTTAACACTACCATAACTCCTCCCAGAGGTGATTGATTGCTGAGCTGTCAAGTTACTATACCTTTAGGTGAACCTCTTTAGGGGTGAGGGATCCTAATATAAGGGAAATGCAGATGAGAGATTAAGGAGGAAAGGGTAAATTAGGTCAGGGAAGAACTGCTATCTACATGTCTGCCTTGGAGATCTAGATATTTAGGGACTAAATACCAAGTGTAGGGTTAGTCTCTATTCTCTGGTCAGTGGGGAAGGACGTTTTGTAGATTGCTGTGACTGGAAATCAGACACCTATAGAGCAGTGCGCACAGACCAGTGTATTGAATGCAGCAAAAGTTTGTTGAGTTGTTTTAGGGTAAAATGAAGTGGCCATCAGGGCACTTAAAAAAAAAAGGTTTTAGGGAAAAAAATAGCTTATTCATTTTCATTGTCATAAACATAGATGAGGAAAATTTATTTTGGTATCTGTATATTGGTCCTAGAATAGTTATCAACAGCAAAGTTCATTTGAATTTATTTTTGTCCTTTTCCTGAGAAATCTTCTTAGATTAAGAGTTTTGAAAATAAAAAATTACAGTGGCAGTTCTATATGTGTAAAAAAGGAACTATATGTATTTTTCTTTGCCTTTCTTTAGCTTTTCAGAAATTCGTTTCTTAGATTATTTCTTTTCGCTCTTCTTTCTAGGGAAGGGGTTGGCAAACTGTACCCAGGCCAGATCCTTCCTGTAGCCTATTTTTGGATGGTGCCTGAGCTAAGGATGGTTCTTAAATTTTGAGATGGTTGGGAAAAAACGAAAAGAATAACATTTCATAACACATGAAAATTATGTGAAATTCAAATTTTGGTCTAAGTAAAATTTTATTGCAGCACAGCCATGCTCATTCACTATTGTTGATGGCTGCTTTCATGTTAACAGTTGCAGAGTGGAGTAGTTCTGACAGACACTTGGATTGTCCACAAAGCTTAAAGTACTTATGTTTGGCCCTTTGTAGAAAAAGTCTGCCTGCCTGTTCTAGGCCTTGAAACCCAGTAAACAGCATAGGACTCTTTCAAACTGTCATCATGCCTTATAAAGATCTATATTAAAAACTACTAGTCTGTTTTGATAAAATGAAAATACTCTTTCAGCTAATTTTAAAGAATTAGGTGTATTCGAATGTCGTGAATAGTGAGAACTATGAATTCCTTGTGTAACTCTGAAATCTTAACTTTATAGTATTTTCACTCTTTGATTTCAGTAATATTTGAAAAATATTTGAAAAAGTACTAGCCATTTGAGATTTCCTCTTCTTTACTCTGTTAACTTCTTTATATTAATCTCTCTCCAGAAATGATTACTTGAGAAAACTTAAGTGTGAACATCTACATAATTCATATATTTTCTCCTGAACCTTGAATTATTTTGCAAAAAATCGGTTATCCTCTGTATTTTTCACGAGGTTTCCTGGTATCATACTGTTAATAGAAGAAAATATCAGTACCTTGTTATAGGTCTCCAGTAATGTATTGAGAGCTATATTATTGAAATACATAGCCATTTTTTGACTGTCAGCATAAGTAAATCTATTGAACGCTATGGTTTACTTTCTGAGGTATTACAGTCCTTAATGAAGTATTTGGCACTTACTGATTCACAAGTGCACTTTAAAGTCATAATTAAATACTAAATGGGGTGTTCCATCTATCACTTAATTTTTTTCTTACTTGAATTTCTTAGGTACAATGTTAGCTGTTCTAAAAAATTTGCACTTAGTCGTTGGAATCGTAAGCCTGATAATCAAAGTCTTGGGCATCGTGGCCGTCGTCCAAGTGGCCCTGATGGGGCAGCAAGAGAACATATCCTTAGGCAGGTCTGTAGAAACCTTGCTTCAATGTACTATACCCTTTTCCGAAATGCAAGGAAAGTGCAATGCTGTATTTTACTTGTACTACATTTTCCAGCTTCCAATTACTTATCCATCTGCAGAAGAAGACTTGGCTTCTCATGAAGAGTCTGTTCCATCTGCTATGACAACACGCCTGCGCAGGCAGAGTGAGCGGGAAAGAGAACGTGAGCTTCGGGATGTGAGAATTAGGAAAATGCCTGAGAACAGTGACTTGCTACCAGTTGCACAAACAGAGCCATCTATCTGGACAGTTGATGATGTCTGGGCCTTCATCCACTCTTTGCCTGGTATGTAATTCACCACTTGGGCCTTGTATCTTGCTTGTGCATTCCCACACAGGAATGATGTTAGATCCATCCGCACCTATTGCACAAGAGGGCTACAGAAGTACTATGTATATATATTAATTGAATGGCATTTGCTATTGAAATATGATCTGTTTCCTCTTGCTTATTCCCTCAGCACAACTGGGTATTTTCTCATACCCCCCAAGTCGATAAAAACTGACTAGTCCTGCTTCTGCTGTGACACCTCAGCCGGTGAAGATCTTAAAGGTGCTCTCTTCTCTTCAGTCTGATTTCTCTCGAGAGGTCAGTAGAGAGATTGAGTCAGACGCTTCTTCCCTTCTGCTCTTCTATTTTTCTATTCTATTTCTTCTTTATTTCCTAATTTAACCTTTTAAAAATAAAATAAGAGAGACTATATATATATTTTTTTTTAATTTTTGAAAGCTAATCAAGACCTTTTAGAATATGATAACATTTTGGTTTCTTTTTTTAAAAATCAAGCTGGTTCTTTTAAAGGGAGCTGCATTCCTTGATTCTTTTCAATAAGTAGACATCAAGAACCCTTCTAAAATTTGATTTTTTAAGTAGACAACTAAGATCCAGTTATGATATTCCATTCCAATATTGAGGGTAACTTCTTATTTATGTTTTACTGCTCTCTCATTTTGGTACTCTTTCCATCAGCTTAATTCTTTATGTTCTTTATCTTTTTTCTTTAATGCAGCAGTCTTTTATATCTCCTTTGTCCAAGGGGCTGGTTACTAAAGATAACTGCACCATTGCTCATGATGAGACCCACACTGATTATGTATGTTAAGACTATATTTTTTTAAATCAGCAAATCTTACTCATTTTGACCTTATGAATGTGGAAAACAAGATGTTTGCTCCATTTTGATTTTATTGTGAATCACACTATTCTCTTGATACAATATATCCCCTTTGAACTCTACAGACTTACTAAAATTAATCCAGCTATTTTTGCTGATGAATCTTTCAGTGAAGATAACTACTCTCTCAGAAGCAGACTTACAGTTAATGTGCTGAGTAAAGAAAGACTATTAACTGCTTTTAAAAAAAACCCATCTGCCATTTTACCTTATATAAACAGAATTCTATGACAAATTATTTTTTCAGTAGCTTGTTTCAGAAATGCTCAATTAAGTTTTTTTTTTTTTAAAACAAGATATGGTCACTTTTAAAGAAAGATTACAGTTGTTTAAAGAGAGGATACATTTTTCATGGAAGATTTTTAAATACGCACCTTTGGAAACTTAGGTGTGAAGTTAAGTGCTAACCATAGGTTTTGAATCTGCTTTAAAACCAATATATTAGAAGATGATGAGTCTTTACTGGTTGTGGTTTTAATATTTAATGACATAAATTTTAGTTTTTAGACCAGTCTAGATATCTTGAGAATTAACACTGGAATCTCTAATGATTCCTTGGGATTGGACTTTGATTCTGTCATCTTCAGAGGTAGTCTCACTCTTCTACCTGAGGTGTGTGAGCTGTTAGCTCGATTTCTCCTTTGGGGATACTATTTCCTTTCCTTTGGGGAGGAGCGTTGGTTCATATCCTGAGGAAAGTGATTGGTCAAATAATTACCAAATAATAGGTATCTGATTCTTCTGTCATTTCATATGCATTTTTTAGGACTAATTTTCTAACTTTCCCCAATATCCATTTGCTAGGAGGTTACTCTTGGCTGCTGTATTAGAACAAAGGCTGAACTCCTTTGTCTCATTCTTGCTTCATTTCAGTTAAAAAAAAAACATGATTGCTTATATTTGAGATGCTTATCTTAGTTCATCGAGATACAATTTTGTTGCCAGTTGTTTAGAGAACACGACTTACCGTTAAAGAGAAACTGCTTTATGAAATTTAGAATTGCTTGGTGATAAGAGTCTCCTTTCCTTTAACTGATTAAATGGGAGTACTTCCAAACTCCTTTGACAGGCTAAAATAACAGGCTTATTTGTGTGATCAGTTATATCTTCTTTCTGAGTGTTTCTCTCTGAATAATCCCTGTGGCCTAAAGTAAATCTTGTATCAGAAAATGCTTTTGTCTTCATTTCTCTATGCTCCTCTGGCCTTTATAAACATCTTTTGAGCCTCTTTCAGGCTCATTCGGGTCTGTGTTATTTTTCTTCCCCCAGGTAGTCTGCTTCCAACCTTTTCTCATAGAATGAATAAGCTTATATATTTTGTAATCTCATGTATTTTCTTTGTTTCCAGCTGAGACAGGCATCCCTCTTTCATCAGGGCACCTATATTTACTTACAGAGTGTTTTCTTTGTATACTGTCATCTTGTGAACCATCCTACCAGGACCATATTAGAGCTGTATGCTGTGTATCCAATCTCAGAGTTGCTACCACAGTGAAAAATTACATTCTTCTGGGGGTGCCTCGGTAGCTCAGTCAGTTGAGTGTCTGACTCTTGGTTTTGGCTCAAGCTGTGATCTCAGGGTCTTGAGATTGGAGCCTGCTTAAGATTCTGTCTCCTCCTCTCTGTCCACCCCCTTACCCCAACGTGTGCATGCTCTCTCTCTAAATTATAAAATATATATATTTTCTTCTAACTTTTGTGCTTTAGAAGGTTCTCTATGGGAATGATTATTCTCAATTAACTGCAGTTACCTTCTTAACTCGTTACAGTGCAAAGGTCAGTTTATTCTGTACTTACTAATTTGTGAATCTGTAGTAGATTTGGTTTCTCTGTAGGCATATAAAATAGGAATTCACCTAAAAACTGTTGGTTTTCATAATACTCATATTAGGACTTGTTTCTTATGTAATATTAAGTGGCAAGTGATATATTTTCACCAGCCTTACTGAGATCATTTCTGTGCAGAGTGTTTGGTTTTGGGTTTGGCTGGAAAAATGACTGGACATTGCAAAATTCATTTGGGGCTCATCCAGTTGCTGAGGTCCGTGCCCATCTGGATAACTGCTTCTGGTGACATAAAACCAGCAATGCTGACTCGTTGCTGCAGTTGGGATATGTTTTGTACGAGTCCCTGGGGCACCGTCATTTTAGAGAAGTAGATTCTAATGTCAGAAATTCATTGAATTTCTAGCTTAGTATACCTTAAGCATCTAAATATTTTTTGAAAATTCATTTTCCTTTAATGAGTTTCAGAAAAATAATTGCTTTTGCCCCCCCCTTTTTAAAGATTTTATTTATTTATTTGACAGACAGAGATCACAAGTAGGCAGAGAGGCAGGCAGGGGGTGTGGGGAGCAGGCTCCCCACGGAGCAGAGAACCCGATGTGGGGCTCAATCCCAGGACCCTGGGATCACGACCTGAGCCGAAGGCAGAGGCTTTAACCCACTGAGCCACCCAGGTGCTCCCCCGCTTTTCTTTTTAAAGTAATTTTATTTTTTCATTTTTATACTAATGTATAGTATAACTAATCTTTGTTGTGGTTGGCTTATGGAAGTTGTGATCTAAAATTCTGAATATAATGCGTTCCTCCACGATCATGCTGTTTCCTGAAACATTTTTTGTTCTTTATCATTTTACGAATACATTTACTTATCACAAGAAGACATTTGAAGAGGGATCTCCCAGTACAGAGGAACAACAGATGCGATATATTTCCTTAGGGAAAACTCCTTGTTTCTATTCCCAAATGTAGCTCTTAACAGTCCTCATTACTTCTCATTGCTCCTGTTTTCTGAATCTAAGTAAGTCCTGCCCTGTCTTTCTCTCTCTTCTTTTCTTTCCTGTGTTCTTGTAAATAAGACTGAAGAGAGAAGAACATTAGTTCTTTCATAAAAAGAAGGATGAAGTCACAACTAGATGCAAGATTAGTCAGTTTTGTCTGCCCAGTTTTGAGAGCTACCTCTGGGAAAAGAAAGGGAGCTTTTCTATGGTGAGTAATCCCATTTTAACTGTATAATTTCTTCTATATGGTAAATGGGCAAAAACCATAACATTCTGCTTAGGGTACTTTTGAAGTGTCAGTTTTTAAGTCTGGAAATTAAAATAGAGAAGTTGAAAAGCTGATTACTATATATATGAAACAGTAAAGAAACAACTAACAGAGAAGATAGGAAAAGAAATAACCAAGAGAAAAGAGGGCCATACAGCTGAATACAGAAGAAAGTGTATCACTCTTGCAAATAGCTCCTCTGTAGAAGATCCTGTTTTTGTTTATTGTTTGTTTATTCATTTATCCAGTCCTTGACTTATGCAGAAATGGATGTATCTGGCACCTAACAATGCTTTGTGCTTGGTACCCGGGTTATAGGGATGACATTATTATCTTACGTAAGCAAGTGGATGACACATTTGCAGTAGAAAGGATAATCATTCCAGCAAAGTTGTGCTCTCCAGTGGTGAAATGTAACCATTTCCATTACTTGTTATCTTTTTATTTTCTATAGAATGCTGATTTGAATAAAATAGACTCGAAGCTGTTAGTTTTTACTCTTAAATTCATTTTTATAATTTCACTGTCTCTCATAAGGAAGCTTCCCCATTATTGCATTCTCTCCTTTCTTGGTTCCTTAACTCATTACCTTCCCTGGTTGTTTCTTTATTGTTAGTGGGGAAGTTTATTGAATAACCTGGCTGTGGAAAATTTGGTAGACAGTAAAAACATTTGAAATTGAAGTAGATGTTAGTATTGTTACCTGCTAAATCACCTGGTTTACACTGAGAGATAAGATATTATTTGGCAAGAGATGAGGGGGCAAGTTCATAATTTCAGTGGGAATTTGTTTTTTTATCAAAAGCGGAGACAAATCCAGTGATTTGAAGTTGGTATTACAAGTCAAGAAGTGTAATACATTTCAGCAGCATTGCAGTAGATTGATACTATGATCTTGTTGGTTTGGTTCTTTCATGAGTGAAAAATAAAAATGTTCTACTATATGTACTTGGCAATTCAAAGTTGTAAATTAGAATAAGGTACAAATGATAATGAAAGTGGTACTCTGGTACTTGAAAAAATATTTCTAAATGGTTACTCAAATGACAGAATGTTGTATTTTATTTCTCTACACCTGTATGTGAAGGGCATATTATACAAAGAAAAGTTCATGAGGTATAGTAACTAGTTAATCCAAACTTGTTATATGTGTGGCATGCTTTGAGGTGATACCATTGTCTTTTTTGTCAAGGTATGTTATATCTGAACTGATAAATCTACATTTCTCCTGACTCTAATTATTTCTATAATAATAATGATTTTAGAACAAGAATTCCAAGTGAATTGCTTTACTTGAATTTTGAATTAATTTTTATTTTCAGAATGCCAAGAGATACTCTGTTCTTCAGGAGTGAACCCAAGACTACCATAAATAAATTTCATTTGTTTCTCAGCCTGTATTTCAGATACTCAGACCCACTGAGAACATAACTGTGACTGATAGAAGTAACATCTAATTGTTATATATTAAGGCTAACTTCCTTCCTCTAATCCATTCCAGGCTGCCAGGATATTGCAGATGAGTTCAGAGCACAGGAGATCGATGGACAGGCCCTTCTTTTGCTAAAAGAAGACCATCTTATGAGTGCAATGAATATCAAATTAGGTCCAGCTCTAAAGATCTGTGCACGCATCAATTCTCTGAAGGAATCTTAACAGGATTATGAGGCTGTGAGAAAACAGCGGTTTTTACTCTTCTTAAACAGACTTGTAAGGTAAAGGCGCAAGTTGGCCTAGAATATTATCATATATTGTGGTGGATAACCAAGCACATTGGAATCTCCACATCAAAAGCTGACATTTCTTCTACAGATAAAATTCATCATACATTTTCATAAGTAGCCTACATTGGTAAAATTGATTTTACAGGTTACATGCAACAATGAAAGACTGATATAGAGGGCCATGATATTTTTCAAAGAAACATGTTATACTAGATAATTTTTTAAAGGTGATGTTTATCGTTAATATAAAGAATCCTTTTAAAAATAATTTAATGATTTACATTTCTCCTGTTTTGATTCGGTTTTCTTATACATTTTTCTACCCTGTAAGTTTTCTATAGGTTGTCATGAGAGATATAATTTAGGAGTAATTTAGGACTAGTATAGGAGTCCAGTGACTGGAATTGTATGCAATGAGCTATCAGTGTGCATTTAAAAAAATATGTCTATTAGACAATTGCTTTGTCTATAAAAAAGGATTGCATTCTAGCATGAATAATACTGATCTGGAAGTCAGAAGAGTTGGTTTCTATTCCAAACTTGACTAAGAATTTGGTGTGGCTGAGAAAGTTGGTTTTCCTCTTTGTTTCTGGACATTTAGAGCAGTGGCTCTCAGCAGAAGTCAGTTTTGCTCCCCAGGGGACATTTAACAATGTCTAGGGACATTTTGGTTGTCATAGCTTGGAGGGGCTGGGTAGGGTTGTTATTGGCATCTAGGCCGTGGAGGACAGGGACGTTACTAAATATCCCACGGTGCACGGGACGGTCCTCCAAAACAAAGATTTACTGGGTCCAAAATATCAAGTAGTGTCAAAGTTCGGAAACCTGATGGAGGAGTGGTAAATGTTGCTCTTTTTTACCCAAAGGAATATTTTGAAAAGATGGGGCACAATAAGGAATACATGATACAATGGAAGTATTTCAGATAGCAGATGTTCAAGTATTTTTCCTAATTTCACCCATCCTAGAAAAAAGGGGAAAGTCTACTAAATCGACCTGTAAAATAAGGACTAGCATACAAATAATTTGACTCTCAGAAAGTACAGATTTCACATTAATTATCTTTCATACCTGCTCCTCTGCACTGATGAGGGCATACTGTGATTATACCTTATGAACCAGTGCATAGCCTTTACAAGTAGTCCAAGCTTACTTGGCCCCACAGAAGTTTGTAGTGGGTACATGGTTGGTCTTTGGATTTTTTCTAACCTTGAACATGCTGGGTCTTGCTAGAATACACATTCCTTTTTCCTTGACTAAACCCTTGCATGCTTCCTACAAAGTACCCACCAAGTAATATCTCTTGGATTATCAGACCTAATTTTGTATATATATGTTTTAGGGAAAAAAATTTTAAAGTAAAAAATTTCACTAAATAGTTAAATAATCAGAATTATGACAATAAAACAATTGTTGTGGGAGCTGTGAGAGCCTTATAGTCCTGGACATAAAAATTTTTTTTTTAATCTTTGCCACACGATGGAAATGTTTTAAAATAGAAGGAACATACACAGATACTTGGCAGAAGTTCAGTTTAAGTGGGGAAGAGTCCATGGGTTTCAGTCATTGTCACTGCTCTTTTCAAAAAGATTGTGTTGAGCTAGTAGAGGACTAAAGATGTCATTAAAGACATCACAGATATTTATCTTTTGGCTTTGTGTACATTAGAGAATGTTGATTATTTTTATACAAAAATACAGCGGGTAATTTTTTTAATCTTTAGATGCCTCTTGTTTGAATGTATGCTTTGTGGGATTCTTTTGTGTAGTAATGTTTTAAAAAAAAGATGTTTACTGATAGTTACATGTAGGATTAGAAGGTGTAATATAGTGTAAGGCTCATGTTCCAGACCTACAATAGCTTGTAGTCTACGTCACATATTTCTTTATATCACATTTTTAATTGGATTAAAGTTTCAAGGAAAGGTAGGTGCTCTATAGTCAGTTTTCATTTGTTAGCAGTTAATTGTTATGACAGAGTTGTCATATGCTTGACTTTCCCCCATCATCTTCCAGTTTCAGAACACAAGTATAGGCTGAGCATTAGTAGGAGATGGTCCACTGTAGGGGGCGTGGAGGGCACAAAGGAAAATCTCCCCCTGGAAGTAAAACTTTTTCACAGATAATCCACAAGCAATTGATTATTTGGGGATTGACTCCCCTAGCAATAATGATTATCTCCCATTACTCTATTATCTATAGCCTTTAAGGTATTTACTTTGAACTATGTATAGGTTCTCCTTTTATTTACTCCCTTTTCTGGTATCAGTCATTAGATACTAACTGAAAGCCCCTGTGCCTAGCACCGTGTTAAATATCCAAGAAAGCTTACAAGGAAGGGGGATTTCCATTTGATGAGAGCACCTTATAATCTTAAATCTTGTAAATCTCAAAAGTAGTCCAGATCTTCTCTTGTCCTCACTCAAAACATACCTAGAAAATATACTTAGTTTTTCAAGTGAGCTATTTTATTTAGAAATGGCTCATTTGCTCAACTGGTAGTTTTCCCTGTTGATGCATCAGTTTCTCTCTAGACACTTGAAAATCAGAGCTTCAGTTATATGTGATGAGTATGGATGATGACACTGGGCATGCACCTCTCTCCTAAGTTCTGAGCGCAGTTCTGGTATGAATTAGGTGGGGAGAGTGTTCTTTTTCCTTCATGCTACTCATTGTTTTAGGACTTTCACTGAGGAGAAAGAATGACAAAAAGGGGACATGGGAAGTTCTTCCTATTTTTGCTACCTAAGTTTGCATTTTCTGACTTGTTTAAACTGATGCACTCTTTCCCCATTGAGGGAAATAAAACCTCCACATTTCGATTTTTATTTGCTTTAAGCCTTGTGTTTCTAAAAAATAAACACACCGAGAAAGCTGGTTTGTAAACATTTTTACGTGACACGAATTTTCATCAAGCCTGGCGTAGGCATGTGTCTGACAAGCCATGCAGCTTGGATATAATCACTATTGATTAAGGCAGAGTGGCTGTCCGTAAACCTGTCCCTTTTTAAGTGGCATGTAACTATTTCCAGGATGATACTTTTAATTTGCTGTGATATCACTAAACAGATGTTTTTCTTAGTCTTAGCTTAAGGTTTGTCACGTAGGAGTAGGGAAGGTGGAATGGGGAGAAGACATTAGCGAAGAAGCTTGAGAATGGGAGAGAGGCGGACAAGAGATCTGCCACTTTGCTTATCCCACTTCGACACTGAACAGATTTCTGCACTTTTGAATATTCATGATTTACCTAGTTTTAAATAGAAAGGGTTTTTTTAGATAGCCCATTTTTTGTTTTTGTTTCCTAATGTGTTTAAACACTTACTTAGAACTGTATGGAGTAAGTACTGTTGTGCTCATGCCTTTGAATAATTTTTGACCTAGCTAATCCTCATATAGCTAGTGTGAAATTATAGTCCGACATATACTCAGCTACAGTCTGAGGCTGAAATCTGTCCCAATGTCCCATATCACAGACTTGTTCAGTTAAATGTTATAAAGCCCCGTTATTTGCATTCTCAGTGTTCTGGTACCATCACGGTGTAAGTGTGGTAGGGTTGTGTTTACTTGTTTACATGTGTGTACACCATTTTGGAAAGAATAGACTATGATCGATGGATGTGAGTGATGCTATCCTCACAGCCGTACTGAGTAGCTGTAATCCCGGTTGGACACACTGTTAAGAAGTTGTAAAGACATTTTAATCTAGAACCCTGTGCTTATATCTCATGGTTTGAAGATTCTTATGCTTAATGACTGGTAGGAATGCATGCGGCCTGGGTGCGGTGGGCCTGAGCCTGAGCGGACAGCCTCAGAGGGCCTCACCTCCTGCTTCCCTCCTCTAAAAGCCTGTCCTAGTCAGGAGGGAACGGTGGGAAAACTTCTTAGACACCTTCATCTGAAAGTCCTTTGGCAGGGTTTGGTAGTAGGGTTAATATTAGGAAGGCAGTTAGGGCAGGAATTTTTAATACCTAACAGTCATGTTTCAGTGAAACCTTTGGGCACAATGTTCAGTCTGTATCCTGTGCACCATGGGGGAAGGACAGGGAAGTGGAGGAAGAGACAAAAGGAGGAAAAGCATCCCAGACCCAAGGGGATAGCACAGTTAACGGACTGAGGCTGTGTAATGTCGCTATGGCCTTCAGTGGTTCAAAATAATACAGTGCAATGGTTGAATCCCAGTTACAGCAGTAAGGTTCATCTGTAATCATTCTCGTTCCTTCATTCTCCATCAAGTGATCCTGCCCTTAGGAGGACTTCCTGTCCCTAAAAGAACTATTAATAAATAGTTCCAATGATACATAAGTTAGTGAATTTTGACTTCAAAGGTGACAACTATTGTACTTGGAGAATATCTGTCAAACTCAAAGGTTAATTTTTATAATTGAGTTACTGGAATTGTAGAGGAGAGTATCCATTTTCAGATACCACAGTTGAATCAACCTTGTAGATTGTTACAAAGGCATTTTAAGATAGTATTTTTTTGTTAGGGTGTATCTAGGAATTGGATGACTAAGGAGCTATAGCTTTTTCTTTATTAGTATGGATTTCAATGGAAGCCTACCTCTGTTTCTTTAATGCACAGTAGTGTGGATCATGAAATGAACTGTTCAATTCACATTAATCAATATTGGTATTTTATGAATCTATTTGAGAGCATTTGATTTCCTCTTAAAGATTGTGATTCAATTTAGATAAGCACAAATACAGTATTAGAAAAATAAATATGCAGTCTTACTAAAGTTTAATTTAAAGCTACTATAAGCTGTACATCTTAAAAAAAGTTCTTTGGGAAGATATTCCTTTTTTGTTAGTTCATCATATGTACCACTATATAGTTTCCTTCATAGCAGCAATACAAGCCATTTCTTCAATTAAAAAAAAAATGTTGACAATATCTTCTTTGGAAAAAGTTTCCTAAATTTTTAAGAATTTTAAGTTTTACATATTATTTTTTAGAGCTTATTTAATCTATTTTAAAGTAATACTATGAGAAAGCTTTTTTTCAAAGTTATAAAGCACTAATACAAATTAGCATCATTTTCCAGAGCAGTGTTTGGCTTTTTCTGAACTTTCACTTGAGCTTGCAGACATTAAAGGGAGTGGTCTCCCTCCCCCTCAGATCTGAGGCCCAGCTTCTCTAATGAAGACCCCGTTCTACTCGAACCGATGAACACACACCTCGTAAGTGCCATGTTTATGGGACCATTTAGGAAAGGTTTTCCATGAATGGTTCATTTTTTCTTTTTCTATAGCTTGTGAACATTTAATTTTAAAGATGACAGTTGTCATCTGAGACGTTGGAGAAGAGGGTACATTAGAGAAGTATTTGTTCCCACTGCTTCTGAAAAGTAGAATTGCTCTCAGTGATATTGATGGCATCATTATGAATCCATAGAAAGAAAACCTGTACAAAGGTTTTAAAATGTATTGTTGAAAAGAAGTCTAGTGATGAATTTTAAGTCAGAAAAAAGAACTTAATATAAATTTAAAGTACTGTTATGCTAACATGGCATAGTTTTAAATATAAGAGTAATTTAGTAAGTCCTTTTAGACCACCTATTTAAATTGACTCCAGTAATCTTCTTAAGGATTGATAGTAGCCATCATTTATTGGCTTAAAAGTTATGCTTTAGGGAATATTATCAGTGTTAAATCCATGTTTTGTAGAGCTTTAATTAGTGGAGGTGAGGAAGTTGGTGTGTATAAGGTAGTGGTGGGGCTGATAGTGAAATAAACATCAACCAGCTTGAGAAAGAAGGAACTGGGTTTAGTCTTGGCCTCAGGCAAACCAGAAGTGTCCACTGTTTAAAATCTTTGTTTAGAATGTGTGGCTAAAGTCTTTATTCTTTTTGTTTTAGATAGTACTAAATAGTCTACTTCAGTACTCAATAATAGATGAACATAATCATTAAATTAACATGATGAATGAAGATAAAACGCTGGTTGGGGGCTGGGAGTTTTACTTGCAGTTGGTGATTTAGCGTGTGTAACACCTTCAGCCCTTCCTTAGCCTTTAATCTGTTCCATCTCCTGAATACACATTATGGAGCCTCTACTACTCAAAAGGCTGATTTTGGTTCAGATTCTCTTTAAGGCACCTCCCGGCTCTAAAACTATGATTCTAGGCCACATAAGGGGGTATTTTTCAAGTTGTTTCTACTTAATTTTTCCCTTTTTATTGGTTCATTTCATATTAAGAGCTTTTGCTAAAAGATACTTGTTAAGTGTCCATTTCCTGGGTCACTCGCAGTCTTTGTTCTCTTACAGATTAAAGCAGAGAAGAAAAATTGTCCAAACAAGCAAATGAGGGCATTTTTCTAAATGCTTCCTACTAGTTCACCACTGAACATATATGAACACATATAAACACTGTCATTCATGCATTCATCCATTCATTTAGCAAACCATGTGAACACTACTGTGTGCACTGTATGGTATACATGACTTAAGGAACTGGTAATGAGTACACAAAATCTTCCCAAACAAAATTCTAATTGTGGCTTTAAACAAACATGGACATTATTATTATTATTACTTGCTGTACTGAATGTGAAGCTGGAACTGGGGGAAATTTTTATGCACTGGGTTAAAGTATTATGCTAGATCTAAAGGGTCTGAGTGAATCACAGCACTATTCCTAAAACACATTTCACATACCGATCACAGTCAGTCGTACACCTGATTAGGTTACAAAATCAAGGGTACCTGATAGGGATTTACATTTTGAGACTGTTGTGACAGCGCGTTATTTCTTAGAATTATTTTGACACTTGAATCTATTCCAGAGGTGTTGCTATACAGGGTGTGTGACAGAACAATACAAAGAAAGAAGCTGGTGCTGGTTTACTATATATCTGTAACGACAAAAGCTTTACACCCAGTATTGACAGTGGAATAACTTTCTCAAACTGAAAAGTCTCAAGGGTGATTGCTAAACAGGTTTGTTTTTTATTGTCTTTTGTTGATAAAGAAAGAAATTATTACACAAATTTACTGTTATTACAAATATATACTTTTTAAAAAGCACACATGTATTACATAGTAAATGGGTTTCCTTTAAAATGCAGTACTGGTCAACAAAAAACCATTTGATGCTTGAACTGACAGCTGTTTGGGGAATAAATACTGAATGGCATTGAGTAATTGGGTTAACTTTCCTTACCACTTGGGGGTCCTGTGAAATGATGTTCTAATTCCTGTTGATCCAGTGATACAGATTAACATCATGCTAGCATTCTCCATAAAGATACCAAATGAAAATAATTCTTTCCACTCCTCAAAATAAAAATATCTGCTATTAAAAAAGATCTTCTGTGCATCATAGTTGCAGCTTTTAAAGCAGGAAAGTGTCCCAGTACATGTTAAATTAGAATCTAAAACGGATTGAAAATAGAACACTGACATCCAAGTAACCAGATAGTCTGGGTTTAAAATTTGCCATGGTCTTGGTTAATATTTACTTTTAAAATGTTTTAATTTACCTAAGTTTTCAAGTATTTTATGCTGTTAAAATATCTATTGTATACTTCTTGTATATGCATTTTTAAATTTTAAAAAGCTAATGGAGTGTGCAAAGATGGTATAATTTTAGATGTCTGATTGCTAGTAGACTATATTAGATTCCCAGTCACCTCATTCAGAAGTTTGGTCTTGTTTTTCCCATAGGAAAAAAAAAGTCAAAATGAGTTCTAAAAACTATCCTCGGAGTGAGCTGTGGTAAAAGGCTAGAGTTGTAGACACAGTGCAAAGGCGTACTGATGGGAGAGGTGAGGGTGGGCCTTTCACGTCTCTATTAAATCACTTCTTTTGTCTTCTTGTTAAAAAAAAATGTTACTTTGTTGATTTAACAAAGGCAAATTGTTGTGATTTTTTTTTTTTTTTGATGCTTCAAGCACATGTTAACTGATTTTTAAATTCCTTTTGGTTCCTCCCATTGTTCTAAAATAGGAGTTTGATATTACCAAAACCTCAAAAGCTAATCTACCCAGGTTGAACAAAGCATCACCAAGGGGAAAGGAAACCTTTTTTTTACTTTTTCAGAAAGCAGATGTTAAGATTATATATAGATGTATTCTTTCCATTGGATATTGTATTAGAGTCCTCCTTACAGGAAATGAAATAGTTTTAGCACTCTTAGCATTAGTGTTCCTAGATTGGTGTCTATAGCTACAGTTTTAAAATGTAAAACCTGAAAATGAAGTTAATTTTGCATTATAAGAGCACACCATGATCTATGTAAAAAGACTGTTCATTTGGTGTATTTTTTTTAAAAGAGAAAGCACTTTCATATTAACAAGTAGCATGTGTATGAATTTTAGATTTTCATATTTGTTGTGTCTGTATTCAGTGAAGTAAAATTGAGCATTCAGATGTTTGTTGATGGCAACATTAACTGTTCAATTAAAGCACCTTATACTCTGCTGCTTAACCTTGCTTGTAATTGCACCTTTGTTATCTGCACATTTTCACACAGAATATTGTTGTTAACATTGCTTCATGTGGGTCTGGATGGAAGGTTAGTGGGCCTACAGGATCATTTATTTATATTGTTTATATTACAATAATATATTGTAGACCAGTTGTAAGTTCATTTCTTTACAAATAAAAGCCTCTTCCATTTGGCTGGTCTATTGGATAATTTTTTTCTTTAAGCTTATGAGGGCCTTGAAATATTTACAAAACTCTGCAGAGTGTAAATCTTTACTAATTAAGTACAATATATTTTAAAGTATCTCAGTCCTAGGTAATGGCCAGTTAGAAAGTGGTACAGTCAGAGGGAAAGTAACCCAGAGAAGCAGAGGGGACCAAGTTTAGAAATAGTGACAGTTACAGTATCTACATAGTTGAACAAAGTGACTTCAGATGATTCTGCCATCGAGGTGGCTTTACTCTGGCAGTTCTGCCCACCAGGTGAGGCTTGGCAGTGTCTGAGACGTTTTCGTCGGTGTGTCTTGGGCAGAGGGAAGGCACATGCTGAATGCCCTCCAGTACACGGGCAGTCTCCCACAACACAGAACTGCCCAACCCAAAATGTGAGCAGTGCTGAGGATAAGAAATCCTCCTTTACTTTTCAGTGGGACACACTGCCCATGTGATTACGATTTGACATGCAAGTACGTGACATACAAGTTATAAGTGAAAATGAATCTGGTATGTCATGGAAAGAGACGTAGTCGCTACTCCCAGTTCTGTAACGTGAGCAACTAAAAACTTTTTTCCAGGATTATCTGTATTAAAAACAGAGATATATTCTTGAAAATTACCTAAATTTAAATTGAGCTGATCTTCCCTTTATGTTAAAAGAATATTTACACCAAATAATTTTAACAAAATGATCTTGATTTTCTTGCTTTGAATTCAATAAAAATGTTTATTTACACTTGTATAGTATTGGCAGAGAATCTCAGATTTACATAACATGTTTGCATCCGGTAGTTTTTTGGGTAACGTGAAATCAGTATGGCCAAGTATTAACTAATTTCACTTTTGTGTTAAATTAATATTGGTAACATGCAGTGTTCCTGAATAGGTATAACAAAATTCTCTTGGAATTATTTTGTTTTTACTACCATAGCCCCAAAGACACATTCTGAAAAGGTATGAAAGGTGGGCCCGGGGAGTGGAGCTTCAGTTCATTTCAGTCTTTGTCCTTTCCCGTTTGTAAAATTATGATTCTTACTATAGTTGTCAGTTTTAACATGGCAACATTAACAAATTATTATTGATATAGGCTTTTCAATTTGCTCAAGATTATGAATTGTAAGTGGAATGAAGCAGCATTTCCAGTTGACGAATGGATCCACAGGTAATGCAATGTCTCTTAAATTAAGCTTGTGACAATTAAACCAATAAATTGTAGCAATCATAAAACTATTGATGAAGTACAACCATGGAATGTTCATCTCAATATATGCCGGAATCTGTACTTTAAGTAAAAGGATAATTACTTGAAGTAGAACAAATGGTAACCAGGTACCGAGAAAACAGATAATGAACTTGGGCAAGAGCGTTTTTTTAGAGCTCAGAGTATAACCACAATGGGATGGAAAGGGGAAATACAGGATAGTCTCATTCATATAGGAAGTCATCCTAACAGCCTGTACCAAAGCAATAACTTCTGACCAAGAGGTTAGAAAAGCCATGAACAAAATCACCACCATGGAAAATGACAGCCAGTAACTCTGAATGCTAATGTAGAAAGGACACTGATAAGAATAAACATTCTGTGCCTTCAGGCTTTGGTAGATAGCTGGATCTCCCAAAACATAAGCAAGGACTGAAATCCAAATTAAAATTACTATAAAGAAATAAAATAGTTTTTGACACTTAAATGCAAGCTTTGTGGTTTTAGAGAAATTCAGGTAATAATCTATACAAGCTATCAGGAAAACTGGATAATGCAGAAAGCCGTAAGTGAAAGAAATAATTTGAGTAAATAGGCAAATGTGGTATTTAGTAAACCTAATGCCTAAAAGTACAAAATCCCTGAAATAGAATATAATGGAAATGTTTACTAAAAGTAAAAGATCGATGAATGCTAGTGAAATGCAAAAATATTCCATAAAATTTTGATAGCTGATTTTTCTTCTCATTCCTAGTGTGAGGATATTCAGTAATATTTTCCCAAGTATAATCAAGAATAGCAGACAGTTACCATCTAGAGGCTGATTTGCTTGATATAACTGGTACTGAAAAGAGCAGTTCTCTGAAGAAAGAGCAGTCATGGTTTTAGCTGAACTGCAGAAGGTCTGCTGAAGTACATACGATAAAACACTGCTTCATTTTAGCTTCCATCCCTGTAAGGAAAAATGAAAAGAAAACCTGATGCCATGTCTAATTTTACTAAAGCTTTATTCTCAGGGCCCCTGGCTGGCTCAGTCTGTTAAGCGGCTGCCTTAGGCTCAGGTCATGATCCCAGGGTCCCGGATCGAGTCCCACATCAGGCTCCTTGCTCAGTGGGGAGCGTGCTTCTCCCTCTGCACGCCCCCTTGCTTGTGCCTGGTCTCTCTCTCTGTCAAATAAATCTTTAAAAAAAAAACAAAACAAAAACTTTATTCTCAAAGAACTAATTTAATCCAATCATTTCTCAAATAATTACAGTTGATCCTTGAACAAGGAAGCAGTAAGAGGTGCTGATACCCTGTACAGTAAAAAATCTGTATATAACATAACTCCCACAAAATTTCACTGCTAATAGCCTACTGTTGACTGGAAGCCTTACCAGTAAGTCAGTTAACATATATTTTGTACACGTATTATATGATGTATTCTTACAGTAAAGTAAGCTAGATAAAAGAAAATAATAGGAAAACCATAAGGAAAATACATGTATAGCACTGTACTGTATTTATTGGAAAAAATCTGCATATGAGTGGAACTTTGCACTTCAAGCCTGTGTTGTTCAAGGGTCCATTATAAATATATAAATAGGAATTTATATTTCTCATACAGAATATGATCAGAAAGAATTAATGTGTACACTTTGGTCATTTTTTAAGATCCACATGGTCCAGAACTCTCCGCTCTATAAACAAAATGTTACATATAAATTACCACTTCTGTAAAAGTATGGGTTTTAATAACTTGTAGAGATAGAAAAGTACTTTTATGTACCAGCACCAAAATGCAGGATAAAATAGCAGCCTAAGAGGAATACTCAGTTAACAATTACTGATGGCTGTTAACCCAGTTTCACTCTGACTCCAGACCCACCCAGCTTTCTTTTTGTCAGTGAAATTTAGGATAGCATTTTGCTGCAGGATCATCATTCTGAAACTCGAAGATAGAAAGCAGATGGTAAAGCTGAAAATACTAGGGACATAGGTAAAGGAAATTCACTTTGGGACATGGTCTTTCAAATATGGCACCCGGATAGACAAGGGAATCCGGGGGAAGGAATAGGGATTGAGTATGGATTAAAGAACATTAAGGACTGCCAGGTAAAGGCAAAGGAACAGGAGTTGAGGCTTGAGGGACTAAGGCATTTGGAGGCAGAAAAAAAGGAGAAGATGATGAAAAAGAAAGGTCAAAGGGGAAGAAATTGGAAAAAGGGTGGAAGGAGAGGCACCTGGCTGGCTCAGTTGATAGAGCTTGCGACTCGATTTCAGGTAGTGAGTTTGGGCCCCATGCTGGAGGTAGAGATTACTTTAAAGAAAAAAAAAAAAAAAAAGATGGAAGGCAGTTTAAGAAATTTATCATTAAAAAAATCACACGTTTGACCAAAAGTTGTTTCTGTTCCACCCACAGACTGTTCCACCCATTATTTATAAATAATGAAATAAACAGTAATGAACCCACTCACAAATGTCAACAATTGGAGATGGGTTAAAAATAATACATGGTGCATCCTTACAATATACTCTAAAGAGGAAGACCGTTTTCTTTCTTCCTCTTCTGTACTCGTTATATGTTAAGTCTAATGATTTGTTAAATGGTAAAAAAATATAAACTCCTACAGTATGTCTAAGTGAATTGCAGGTCACAGAATTATGTAGCAATATCTAATTATTAAGACATTATACACGTACAGAAAAAAACTAAGAGTACACATTGAGTTACTAATGTAGTGTTACAGGTGTCTCCAAATTTCTCAAACTTCAAGGAAAAAAGTTAGTAAGGGAATATTAAGTCTGAAAAGTAAAACAAACTGAATTTGCCTAAAACCAGATAAATGATGATTTAAATAATTTCAAGGAAGTAGTTGAGGATAATGCCTGAGGGTAAAGAAGATTAGCGTGAGGAAAGGCTATCTGTTCTCTTGACAGACTGAACTCTAACTTGATAGTCTTTCCATGTTGAGAAGAGAGTTCAACTGATTTTTTGAGCTTCTGTGTTCATCTTTTCCTTGTCCAACTTTAGCAAGAATCCTGCTAAGAGAGGTTAGCCAGACTCTGATCCTCAGGATCTGATGTCCTTCAATATCTAACTGGGTTCCTTATCCTGCACCATCTTCCAATGATGACCTATCACCCTGTCCTGCCTTTAGCAAGAATCCCTTATTATCCCTGATGTTTCCTCAATAATATTCCACCCACTAACCTCCACCTTGTTCCTTGGCTGTAAATTCCCACTATTCCTCATTGTATTCAGAGTTGAGCCCAATCTTTCTACCCGACTGCAATGGTCCCTACATCTAGCGCAAAGGTCCTGGGTAAAGTCTAAAGTTTGCTTTACTGCTCTTTAACAAGGGTCATGAATAATTTTTCCTTTAAATACTGTCACGGCTATAAATCTACCATGTCATAAGCTGACTTACTAAGGTACACAAATTATGTATTTACACACACAAATGTGTATATATGTAAAGAGTTATAAAAAAATCAGTTAATACCTATTTTTATAACTATAAAAGAACCAATGAAACAAGCTTTCGTAGGTATATAGTTCATATATAGTTGACACTTTCCCAAAAAGTTCCATTCAGATTTGATGTAAAAAGGCATCGACTCATGGCTACCATCTTGATAAATGCCACTGGCTTTTATAAGTCGTGGTGTCTGGATAAGGAAGCCCAGACAGAATAAATAAATGAAGTCTTCCTTGTGCCGAGAAAAAAACCAGGCTGCTTTAAATAGCCAATATTGGTTTAGAAGGGGTGTGAAGAAGGTAAATAGAGTAGGTTCATATTTATAAAGACCCATCTAAAAAGATATCTTTAGGATAAAAGAGAATTATCTGTATAAAATGATTTTATCCTTTGTAACTCATCCAAAATTAAATAAAGCTAAGGAATCCCTGTTTAAGTGGTCAGCAACCAAGGGATATTTCCAGAGTTTTCCATTTCCTCACTGGCTCTCAGGGGCCAACTGCAAGGACAGAAAAGCAGGCTTGTCCCTGGATGAAGAAAGTAACTGGGGAGAAGGATGATCAGCTATAGCCGCCAAGACACCAGCCAGGAACCTCTTTAGAAAAGGAGTGGAAGAATGAAGACAAGTTTGAAATGGAATGTGTAAGAGAACCAGAAGGCTGTAAGAAACTGGAGCTGAGGTGGGAAAAGCCTTGGGAAGCTATGCAACTTGAAGCAGTAAAGAGCCATCAAAAGGAAGGATATCGGAACATAAGGTTCTAGTCATTTTACACTGGCTCCTGAATATTGTGATCCTGGGAACCAATCAAAACTTTTTCATGATACCAATTTTATGCCACACTTCCCCTATAGTCCACTGAATGTACTCAACATTCCAGTATTTTGTTCTTTAAACAACCTCCTGAGACGAGACAAAAATATCCTTTGATAGGCTACCTGTACTGAATTTTCCCTTGAAAAATATATTAACTGCAGGGATCCAGAGATTTATAAGATATGGCTCTTTTCCTGAATGATTTTTTCAACTATGTATGAATCAACTCGTGTGTTTCGTATACAACGTGAATAGTTAACGTGTAAGTCCTTTTAAGGCATCATTGGGCTTACTTTATGATCTGGCCACTTTAGAAGAATTAGCAGGAAACAAACCATGATTTCTTTTCACTAATCCCTTCTCCAGGCTCCTATTGAAAGCCCAGGGGCACCTGGGTGACTCAGTTAAGTGTCCGACTCTTGATTTTGGCTCAGGGCATGATCTCAGGTTCGTGGGATTGAGTGAGCCCTGTGGCCCCATGTTGAGCTCAGCAGGGACTCTGCTTGTCCCTCTCCTTTTGCCCCTCCCCCTACTCGAGCTCTTTCTCAAATCAACAACAACAACAAAAACCCCAATTAGATGCCCGGGTGGCTCAGTCAGTTAAGCGTCTGCCTTCAGCTCAGGTCATGATCCTGGGATCCTGGGATCGAGTCCCACATCGGGATCCTTGCTGAGTGGGGAGCCTGCTTCTCTCTCTGCCTCTGCCTGCCACTCTGCCTACTTGTGCTCTTTCTGACAAATAAGTAAATAAATAAAATCTTTAAAACAAACAAACAAACATAGGGTACCTGGGTGGCTCAGTGGGTTAAGCCTCTGCCTTCAGCTCAGGTCATGATCTCAGGGTGCCTGCTTCCCGTGCCCTCCCCTACCCCGCCTACTTGTAATCTGTCTCTCTCTGTCAAATAAATAAAATCTTTAAAACAAACAAACACAATTCCTGACAACACACAATGCTTTACTTACTCTGCTTTCTCCAGTAGGTCCTTCTTGGCTGATAATCTCAGTTTTACTTCCTTTAGGGATCTTGATTTTGGTACGTGGCATTCCAGATGCCATGTGACTAAGCTCTGTGTGAAAGAGAGAAAACATAAACAACCACCATTAAGAGCAGCCACTGTGGGATTCAGTGTAACTAACTGGCTCCAACTCTCTGCTTAGAAAAACTAACTTTCTGGGGGATTAAAGCCAGTAATTAACTGCTTATATTCTTTTTTTCCAGGGAAAGGAAGACGGGATACATTTAGGTGGAAGCCCCCAAAGGCCCCAAGACATGGGTACATATCACATCGCATCTATTTAAACAAGTCTTGCTGGCATTGCGGTTTCTGCCCTTAGGCTTCAGAGTCTAAACCAGTGGTTCTCAAACTATTTGGTTTCAGGACCTTTTGACACTGGTGGCATGTAACATAAGTAACATTTTTTTTTTAAATGAAAAATTACTATATTTTCCCAAAAGGAAAAATTTAGTGAGCAGGGGGCATTTTTCACATTTCACAAGCTGCTTTGGTGTTCGGCTCAATAGCAGGTAGCTGAAGGTCTCCTCTGTACCAGCTGTGGTATCACACATCACGTAGCTTTTGCAAAGTTCTGTGTTACATGATGAGAGTTTGAGAATAAAAATACATACTATTATAATCAAAGAGTTGTGTTATACTGTCTCAGAAGTCTGACAGAACCATTTGCATTAAACACAAGTATTTAAAGAGGAGCAGGGTTAACGTTCTGGTCTACTCTTGTACAGGAAATAGAATTAGTACTGCAGCTAGATTCGCTGATCCCAATGAATGGAGGAAACCTACAGTAGAAATCACGTACTGAGCCTTGTTCAGGGGTTTACATACCTTTTATCTAATAACCTTTACAACAATCCCCAAAAGGTAAATATTTTTCCCCATGAGGAAACAGATGCAGGGGTAAATAAGCACATTTCCTGAGGGCGGATGACTGATAAATGTTGGAGCTGAAGTTCAAGCTCAGGTCTGAATTCAAAGCTCATATTCTTTAGTAAGTGACATTATGGCTTGACTCACAACTGGAAATGAAGAAAGGGACCCAATTTATGTATGTGAAAAAATTCTGAAAAGGTGACATCCAAATAAAAGTGACTGCGTTGATTATTGACACCCGAAGGACTGTAACTAATCTATGTGGATAATGTAATTTTATTCCTTCAAAAGGTAATTGTACATAAACTTTTCAAAATATGGTCCTTGTTTGGGGCACCTGGGTGGCTCAGTGGGTTAAAGCCTCTGCCTTCAGCTTAGGTCATGATCCCAGGGTCCTGGGATTGAGCCCCACAATGGGCTCTCTGCTCAGCAGGGAGCCTACTTTCCTCTCTCTCTCTCTGCCTGCCTCTCTGCCTACTTGTGATGTCTGTCTGTCAAATAAATAAATAAAATCTTAAAATGTTAAAAAAAAAAATATGGTCCTTGCTTGATATGTCAAAGTTCAGTTAAAAAAGCAAAATGTCCCTCAATTCTGACAACTTTTAAAGAAACATGTTTTCATTCATTTATAGTATAATGAAATTCAATATAGAAAGTTAAGAAAATACAGGAAACTGGTTTTTATTTAACTTGTTTTTTAAAATAGGTTAACACAATTTACATGGTATAAAAGTCAAGTTATAGAATTATATGCTGTGAAAATTCATCCTGCCCGCTCTTTCAACATCCTTTACCCCCAAACTCCTCACTATCCAGTTCAGTTCCCTTCCTAGATAAAACCATGGTTACCACTTACTTGCCTGTCTTTCAGAGATACTCTAAAGCAAGGTTTTACAAAGAAACCTGAAATTTCCATGTTGTTAAGGAAGCTAGCAAAGAATTCTTGATTTGCCCTTTTCCAAGTCTCACTCATATACTGGTAAAAATCACATAAGAGTTTCAAAGGTAGAACACAACAAAATACGAATCAATGATTAGTCAGATTACAGCAGTAATTCCCACCAACCCCAAATATAAGGCTGGTCATGAGGAAGGAAGGTCATCTAGGCCAGGAAGGAAGACAGGAAGTAAGGATTATCTCAGAGTAGAATGACAGGTGCTCTCGTTTTCCCGGAGTATAGAATTACAGTGCTCACTCCTACCTACTTCTCTGCTTCTAGGCCCACAGGGAGATTTCAGTTTCTTGACCCTTAAAATTAGGTGGGCCCATGATGTGGGTAATTCCAGCCAAAGGGTTATGAGGTTCAAGCATTTAATTGCAGAGGAGAAGCCTCTTCAGTGTTCTCTTCTCCTGCCACAGTGAATAGAGTGGCCATGTGTTCCAGGTGGTACAGCTCGAGATGGTGGAGCCTTTAACCTGGGTCCTTGAGTGACTGTGTGGAGCAAAGCCTTGATGACTCAAAGTGGATGTACGGTGTAAGTGAGAAAAGTCTGTCATATTAAGCTGCAAGGATTTTGTGATTATTTCTTATTGCCCATCCTAACTAACACATTTCCATAGAACTTGAAATTTTTCAACAGCATGTATTATTTATATTATCAATTTTAAAAAGCTATAGTAGAAAACAACTTTGAAAAACAACAGTGCAAATGTCAGAAAATTGGTAAAATAAAAATTCAGTTTTAATTCCCAATACATGAACTGGTTTTGCATTGTTTTGTTGTGATTCTCTTTATATTTGTCTGTATTGGAAAAGAAGGTCTCAAGTCACTGACCTAAGTTTCCACCTTAAAAAAAGAATGAATTAAACCCAAGGTAAACTAAAGGAAGGCTCTAAGAGCAGAAAACAATGAAGTTTATAAAACAAACAGAATAACCAGTGAACCAAAAGCTAGTTCTTTGGAACAACAACAACAACATCAACAACAATGAATTGATACAACTTCAGCCAAACTAAGCAAGAACCTACCAAAACTAGGAAAGAGAGGACCTCACTACAGATCATACAAACACTGAAAGGATAATAAGGGACTGCTATGAATAATTTTAATAACTGTCATGGAACATAATTTCTGAAAGGACCAAATCTCATTCAAAAACATCCCTAATGATCTCTATTAAAGAAAGTGATTTTGGAATTAAAAACCTTCCCACAAAGGTTCTAGGTTCCCACAAACCTTCCCACAAAGGTTCTAGGCACACTCTAGATGAATTCTACTAAACATTTAAGGAAGAAACAGAAGACAGAAATACCTCCTAACTTCTTTTACAAGATCAGAATCACCCTGATACTAAAAGCAAAAACATTTTAAGAAAACTAAAGAGAAAAACTGTAATGATCATCTGAATTGACACAGATAAAGCATTTAACAAAATCCAACATGATTAAAACTTCCACAAACAAACAGTAAGAGGGAACTTGCCAACCAGATAAAAAGCAGCTATGAAAAACCTAAAACCTACACCTAACCTCATGCTTAGTGATGAAAGAGTGGCCATTCCCCCCACCCCAAGATCCACCCTTCATTCAACAGTTTTTTGGAAACCCTATCCAGTGCAATAAGGCCTTAAGAGGAAATAAAGGGCAGGAAGATTGAAAGAAGTAAAGCTGTAATCATGGATCATGTACTTAGAAAATCTAAAGAGTCTATAATAAAGCTACTAAAAGTAACAAGTAAATCTAGCAAGTCTGCAGGTTTGGTGTTGTTTTTTTTTTTTTTTAAGATTTTATTTATTTATTTGACACAGAGATAGCACAAGTAGGCAGAGCGGCAGGGAGGGAGAAGCAGGCTCTGCAGAGCAGGGAGCCCGATGCAGGACTCAAATCCCAGCACCCTGGGATCATGACATGAGCCGAAGGCAGACGCTTAACCAACTGAGCCACCCAGGCAGCCAGGTTGCAGGTTTTTTAAACATCATATTTCTAGACACTAGTGATAAACAATTGAAAAATGAAATTAGAACATTTTATTAGCATTAAAAATAGGAAACATTTTGGGATAAATTTGACAAAGCTCACACAAGCCCAGTATTCTGAAAATTTTAAACAATACAGAAAGAAATTGAAAATCTAAATCAATGAAGATCTATACCATGGGTTGGAAGACTCAGTATATCTTTTTGTTGTTGAAACTGGCAAGCTGATTCTACAACTTATATGGAAATGCAAAGGACTGAGCAGAGCCAGATTTTTAAGAACAACAGAGCTGGAGGACTTCTACTACCTGATTTTAAGACTTGGTTATAAGGGTACAGAAGGAAGAGGATGCTATAAGCATAAGATAGTCCTATAAATTAGTGTAATAACAGAAGAGGATTCAGAAATGGATCCACATATTTATGGTCACTTGATTTTTAAAAGGAAGGTAATTCAATGGGGGAAAGGACAGCCTCTTCTAAAAATGATGCTGGAGAGTGGATATCCATATGGGGAAAATTACATTGCATCATATCCAAAATAAACTCAAAACTGATAAGACTAAACGTGTGGGGGGGGCCGGGGGATGGGTGAAACAGGTGACGGGGATTAGGGCCTGCACTTGTGATGAGCAGTGGATGTTGTTGGAAGTGCTGAATCAGCACACCCGAAACTTACTATACCGCATGGTAACTAGCTGGAATTTAAATAAAAACTTTAAAACACTTAAAAATTAAAAAAAAAAACAAACTTAAAAATGTAGAAATGAAATCAAAATATCTGGAAGAAAAAAGAAAATCTTTGCAGCCCTGGGCAGGTGTATTCGATTCCTCAGCCTGCCATAACAATTAACCGCCGGGTGGCTCAAAACAACAGGAATTTATTCTCATAGTTCTAGCAGCCAGAAGACCAAAGTGTCAGCCAAGACACACTCCCTTTGAAGGCCCTGGAGGAGAATCCTTCCCCACCTCTTGCAGCTTCTGCTGGCTGCTGGCACTCCGTGGCCTGTGGCGGGACACCACCCACATCTGCCTCTCTCTCTGTCTCTCCAGGGCCTTGTGCGGTGTCTCTCTGTGTCCTCTCCTCTTTCTGTAAGAACACTACTGGATTTAGGGTCCACCTTAATTTAATCCTACATGACCTCACCTTAATTACATCTGCAAAAAACCCATTTCCAAATACGGCCGCATTCCAGGTGGACGTGGATTTTGGGGGGATCCTAGCCACTCCACTCCAGTAGGCAAAGCTTTTCTCAGGACATCC